GGGTGGTCTTTTTTATTTTTCAAGTATAATTCACATTTCCTCACCATTCTTTTTATAATTACTCCCATTCACATGCTTAAAATTTGAGTCTTTAAGTTATCTGTGATGGCTTCTGTTCCCCACTATGTGATTTGATGATTATTTTCTACTGTTTTCCTCATTACTAGTTGGGAAACCATTACATGGTTTTTGGAATTACCCACCATCCTTCTATATTTTTCTTAGCTTTTATCTTAAGCTATCTTCAGTCTGGTATTTTGGAGGTTCATTGATCCGTTCTTGCTGTTTCTGGGATACTAATTGGCGGAAAACTCCTTTTTCTGCATTCTTGGCTGCTGTATCTGCATGGTTGTTACCCATACTGATATTATTGTTGTTTGATTGGTGGGCTTTGCAATGCATTCTAGCTACTTCTTGTGGTAATTGCCCCTCTTCTAACAATTCTATTATTGTTTCTCCATATTTCACAGGTGTTCCCTGGGAGTTTAGTAGCCCCTTTGTTTCCAGATAGCACCATGTGCAAGCACAACTCCAAATGCAAATTTTGAGTCCAAATACTGTCTCTTTTCCCTTTTGCTAAATCCAAAGCTCTTAGCGAGATTATGAATTCTGCTTTCTGTGCTTAGGTAGTATGTGCCAGAATTATGGCATTCTTAATGCTATCTTGCATGGAACTGCTACAATCCACAAACACTTCCATATCTGGATTCCGAGGGGACAGTCTTTCAAATCAGTTCTGCTAGAATATACTTGTTCAATAGTGTGAAGACAGTCGTGTTTGATTTCCCTTCCTTCTATTGTGGTGTTTAAAAACAGGACTGGATTCGGTATATTGGTTACTTTTAATTCCATATCCTCTTGCTCCACCAGGTAGTTCATGATCCAGTTTTGCTCCTGGCTTCAGCTGGTTACGGATTTGGATTCTACCATCCAAGAGTTCCTGTTGCCCAGATCCATGGTATCACTGCAATTTCCACTCCTTCCGGTACTGTCTGGTCGGGAGGGGATGATTTCTATAACATCACTGTTACAGTGATGTATGGCTAGAGCAGTGTTATTCGGTTTTCAGAGCCAATTTAAGTATGACTTAGCATCATACAGTCTTCATGTTCAGCACAGGGATTAGCCATATTTTAGTACTCTATCTAATATATTATTTTATAGTGAAGCCTTATGCAAAAGCTTGTTCCTTGGTGCCACAGTTCATTGTGTCACGTTATCTTTCTTAGACTTGTGCATTTAACATGAAATCATCTCAGTGTTTCTCCTATTGCTGTTAATAAAAACTTAAAGTCGTCAGTACAAACAAGGCTGAGTCAGGAGCCATGTCAGTCAGATGTCATGCTGCAGGCAGGGATCTACTAACTGACCTGGGTTGCCCTGTCACCCCCATGCTAAGAAACAAGAGAGAAAAATCAGCAAAAAAAAAAAAAAAAAAGGAAAGAAAAGAAAAAAACACCTTTCACAGCACTCATTTATATTTTACAATATGAACTGTAGCAGTGTAAAGTAGGATAGACCTGTGTAATTAGGCTGTTGGAAGGGGTTACTGGAATACTTCTATGGCTGTGTGATGATGCTGATGCTGTTTTTTCCTCCCCTGTAGCACAGCCATTAGGGCACCCAGACAACCAATGGAAAAAGCTGTATCAGGACATGGTGCAGGTGCACCTTAGATGTGGGGTTACAGAACCTTCTGTGAAGCAATGTCTTTAGTGTGCATGTGCATGCTCCTATGCTGCCTCTGCTCAGGGAGTGCATTTGGCTGTCTCCTGGCTAGCGGGCCACCACTGTATGAGAGTTTCTGGTCCCAACTCACTTTTAACCTGGGGACACTTCCACGAAGCTCCCAAATAACTGCTATGTGTCTCAGCTCTGCTTCACACCCCTGCCCATCTCTCTCCTTCAGCACAGAAGTGGAGATAACTGACTCCCAGAGCTGAAGCTTTTTTGCCTGGTTTTCCCCTCTGAAAAGGGGAAGTGTCTACAGCAAAGAGGCTTTGTAGCAGAGGCAGGTGAAGTGACTTCGGATGCAAACATATTTATAGTTCCAGCACCCCAAATTTTCAGTATGGCTTATCCACGCAGTAAGCTAAGAAGACAGGCTCATTTTCAAAAACTGGGTTTCAAAGTCAAAGATGAGAGGGGTGACAGATGTCTACAAGAGGGAAATTCTGTCACAAGGCAGCCTCTCTCTTTACACCAGAAGACCTGTGATAAGACAAGTCTGCCAGATGTTCAGATCCATCAAGGAGCTCACAGCAGCAAAGGAAAGCAGAGCTGGGACCCTTAGGGAGACAGCAAGGAAGTGGCATTTTCAGTCATATGAGAAAAGAAGCTGCTCCTGGAGCTTGCAGGCCGTGGTGCACCAATATTTTTACCTGTTACACACCACTGACTTTGGTTCTTGTTTCTAATCTCATATCTACTAAAATATTTCCCACTGAAAGTATAGGTCCCCGAGTGGTAAATTAACATTTAATACAAAATGCTGGCAGTAGGCTCATTTTCTTACTCAGCTTTTACAGAATATATATATATATCGGCTTAATGAGTGAAAAGCTGCCCCAGCACAGACGTCATTACGAGCAGCCCTGATGTCTGTGACACCGCAGACTGGGGAGAAGCAGGAGGGTGGAATTCTGAAGGAGGGTGTTGGCAAGGGGCGGGAAGGGGCTGCTCCACCTCCGGCGGGGCCTGAGGTGCGCGGACTGCCCGCCGGGTGGCGGTGCCGAGCCGTCGTTGCGCGCTGCCTGAAGGCTCCCGCGGGCCTCCACTTGCTCGGTGTGCCGGTGCTGGGCTGAACGCGCGATAAGAGCGCAGGAAAAAAGTGCCCAGCGGGTCATAAAGCCTGGCATTCTGTTAGATGGCTACAGGCTGGGCTATATCTCCTGCAGACCCGTGCAAAGCTGGGTTATTTTGGCCTCAGGTTTTATGCGTAGGGAGTTATGCTAGCCTCACTTTCTGCTTGCGTCAGCCTTTGCCTGGAAACTACTGCCAGCTTAACGTGATCATGGTTTTAAACTAAAATAAGGGAGATTTAGATTAGGTACTAGGAAGGAATTTTTCACTATGTGGGAGGTGAGGAGCTGGCAAAGCTGCTCAGAGAAGTTGTGGTGCCCCATTGCTGGAAGTGCTCAAGGCCAGGTTGGATGGGCCCCAGGCCCTGGCCTCAGCATGGGATAATTTATCTTGTAAACAAAATAGGAAAGGCAGGGGTTTCATACTAACTTATTCCCATGAGTGAAGGCAGGTCAGTACAGTGACAGCCTGAGACTGGATGTGAAAGCAGGTCTGGTGTGTACCATAGCAGAGAAAACTCCATAGATGATGCTTTTTGAGAACAGATATAAAGTTAAGGATGAGGCTTTGCCCTCCATGTAAGAAGTCTTAGGAGATTCTTGTCTGCTTTTTCCTCTTTGGTGTAGGATTGAGAGAAGGTCGAGAGACACAGGACGCAAGGGATTCAAAATAAGTATTTCGACCTACAAAATAAAAGAGGCTAGTCAGTGTGTCTCACTGGCTATGTGGGAGAGAGCTCAGCAGCCTTGTCCTAGCATATTGGCAGCAATGCAGGAACTGGGTCTCTTTCATTTTCTTTTCTTTACCTCTCTCTTTGGGAGTCTATGCATGCAGAATTTTACATGGCCCTTTTAGTAGGCAGGTGTGGAACACTCAGTCCTATGTTATTTAAATTTGTACAGAAATATACAGAGTTCTATTTCACAGATCAACAGAGGAACTAGAACAACTGGCATAAAATTACTGTGAGGAAGTGAAGAATCCTGAGATCTGAGTACTTTTTCAGGGCTGTCACCCAGAGAAAGGGCCACTGTTCACTGAACCATTCACTACAAAGAAGAAAAACAGTGTGCAGTAATCAGCTAGCGTGACAGACGTTTTAGAAACAGAGTAAGAAAAAAGTGTTTCAGTTTTTCATACTTCAGTTTAACACACTCCTACATAATTGTTAATACACAGCTGCCAACATTGCCTTTTCTTGTATACGATGCTGTTGTTTTTTTTTTTTAACTAGACCAAAGCATGAAACATATACATCTCTGGGATATTACACCAGTGATATTTCACATTTTCAGAATTAAATTGAGGGTGATGTGTGGGTGGTTTTGATACCAGCTCTAGCCACACCTGTTACATACAGAAACCATGCTAAATGTTGTTCTGTTAATTTTCAAATAAATGTCAAACCTCCCAAATACCAGTGAGCTACAGCATCCATCCACCAGCTCTGGAATTATTCAAGACCTCTACGCCTTGAGCTCAGGTGGTGAGATAAGCTATGGGTATTTGATAAATGCTTGGCTGAGAGCAGCTAAAATATATTCTGCTTCATTGCCGCTATCTTGCTGTTAAGAGAGTGTCAAACTTTGACAGTTGTGACTGATCTAAGCCTTGCCCCTTTGGGGTTTATGGCCTTCCAGAAGCTTTCTAAGGCAGTGAGTCCATGTTTCGGTGGCTCTTGTGTCTGAGGAACTGCTAGGCAAGTCAAGGCTGTTGAAACTCAGAGCATCCTGGCTTCACACACTTGCTTGGAAGAAAAGACAGGAAGAGTACTGCTATTTCTGGGTGGAGGGAGCTGGCTAGTCTTCACATCTAGAATGGACATCCACGGATCAGAACAGACACTTTGCCTTCCCTGACCACTTTTCATTTTATGCTCTTTATTGTGGATTTGGGAACTGTGAGACCACAGAGGCAAAACATTCAGAAATCATTGAAGTCCTTCAAAGGTATTGCTTTTTAAAGAAAGAATACTTTTGGAATAAATGTCTGATGGGCTTGTAAGCTACAAAATATACACGGACAGTTTTCCGTATTCTTCTCTACAATCACAGAAGCAAAATCATTATCTTTTTTTCTTTCTTTCTTTCTTTCTTTCTTTCTTTTTTTTTTTTTTCATAGTGACAGTATTCCCAGGGCTGGAACTGTGTGAAAGTACAAAAAAATGGAAAAAAAAACCCAGACAATCAAGTGGCATGTGTCCTCCCTGTTAACCCAAGTGGAGAGGAAATGTTTCAGTTTCCATATGTATCCCAAAAAAGAAGAGCTTTTGATTATATTTGGAGGCTTCTGTGAACCTTGAGTGATCAAAAGATAAATCATTTTAGTGACTGTTTGTTGAAAGGGATCTGGTAATGGCATTTCTGACCTGAGATGATAAAAAAAAGACAAAGCCAGGGATGAGATAATTCTTCTGTGAATTGTGTATTACAATTTTGCATTGAAAGTTATACGGAGTAGCAATACATTTTTCAGTAGAAAGCCTCACCAGTTTGGTATTTATTTTATCCAAACTCTGGATCTTGAGGAAGAGATGGTTTATATCAATCATTTTTATATGTGTGAGGTATAAAAAGTTGGTAGAAACATGTTTGAAATTCAACTATGGGTATGATTCAATGGTTAATTTATTTCCTAAATGAATGAGAAAGGAAACAGGTTGCTGTAAGCTTCTGCTCTCACTTCCTTATGAGAGAAGACATAGACACTGTCCCAGAAAGAACGGGGCTGTTGTGCACTCTCATCTCGGGCAAACATGGGTAACTGGGTAGAGAATGAAGGACTGTCCATCTTTGTCGTTGTAAGTACCATTTTTTATTGTGATTTGTGTACAGTAAAAAGTTCTACAGAGCATTTTAATAAGCAGATCTCTTTGTGTCAGCGAATTATGTGTTTGATTATTCTGAAGCTAGGGCAGCAAGTGCAGTGACGCAGTTCAAGAACATGATTTTTAAGGAGCTCTCCCTGGTACATGCATTGCTGTAGGTTTCATGGTCGTGTGTTAGCTGTTTTCTTGGATAGAAATAAATTTAAGTACCTGCTATTTTTAGATGCAACGATGAATTAAGGAAAAGAAATAACACTGCATCTCATTGTTAACTATTGAACTTCAAAATAGAAAGCAATCACAACAACAAGGTTTTCTTGCATTTTTGTAAACAGAAGTAGATGCAACTGAGAGCATGTTGGATATGTCTCGAGGATAGAAAACTAGCATTAGAGTCAGATTCCAGAATTTAGAGCAGAAAGTCATGAATTCTTCATTAGGGCAAACTAGCATTTGAATCCATTTTGAATATAGTTTGCATGGAGTGGCTGTCAAAATATGTTAAATTATTCCAAGGAAGATTTAAAAGTACTAAAAATCTCACTCTCGTTTCATCAAGATAAACAGTAAGACAAGGCAGTCCTTATGGGAGAAAACACAGGCAGAAGTTAGTATTTCAAATTTCTCTTTTTTTCACATCACTGCAATGTCATACTCAAGTATATACATATGTTTATATTACAATATAATACATGTAATAGAAAAGTAACATCATTTAAGGGATTTCTGCAAAGTGGGGTTAGTATGTAAGTACTATTCACTAAAATCCTTAGCAAAGCATTCTTCACTGTCCACTACAGCATTACTATACAGGGCTGTCCCACACCTGATAGAAACAGACACGAGTTATGTTGGTTTGCCCCAACAAAGCAGACACCTAGCAGCCTTAATGCCAGCACACACTCCCTCCACTGGCTCTAACTAAAGAGTATGGGTGGCAGCTAAATTTGCCACCCAGCTCCAGTTGGTGGAGGATGTCACAGTGTTTTTCAAAGGGTCCATGTTCTGAATGGGTCAACACCAAGAACTGAAGAGTGAGAGTGTGTGAGAGTCCATCACAGATGGGCATTTTGTGAGGCTACTGTACATGGATGTGGCACACACTCGCTTTAAATGCGTGAGCATTTGATCTTGAGATTAATTTTATAATAAGGATTTGGGGATTCCTTATATACTCCCTTATACTGATGGAAATCCCTTCACTTTCCCAGACTAATTCCATACAGGTAAGATGTCTTCAAATGCCAAACTAATCCCAGGTTTTTACAGTGTCAATTTGGGCCAAAGGACCAGCAAAAATGTGGGTTAAGAGGGTTGAGCTACTGTCAAGTCAGAGTTTCTGGTATCCTTAACTTACAGCCATAGACTGAGTTTTCTCCCAGTTCTTGGAGTTTCTTTTCTCTGTTTTTACATCCTGGTTAATCTATTTGGAATAGAGGTGCATTGATACAGATTGTACCACATAACACAGTATGTGAAATCAGCCAACAGCTGATTTGATGGGCAAGTGGCCAAATTCATTATAATTTCTGCAGCCAGGTGGGCTACCTTCAATAGTTTTGAGAAGGGCTAATAACTCCTCTTTTCCTGAAGAAATCTGCACTGTAGGATACACACTGTGAGAGAGTACTGCAGTATAGCTAAGAAAAAGCCCGATTTTGGATAGTCTAAACTCTACCTAAGTGCCTGCACTGAATATTTCTTGCTGACTGATTTCAGACATTTAGAGCCTCCTACACAATAGAAAACGTTATGGTCTGGCCTCTGGTGTAATTAAGGCAATCTATATTTAGATCTCAAGCTTCTTAGTGCTGTTGCACAGCAATTAAGTGTTCCTCATACAAAGGTTAATACATCTGAGGAAGTGCCATTTTGAAGAGGCCTTAACTTTTAATGATGTTTGGAGATTTAATTAACCTCACAGACTTAACTAGATAAATGTAACATCACAGTCTTTATATAATCATGTCTAAATTCTTAGAACTATACAAAATTTTCAGCTGCCAATATCTATATTTGGGTTTATTGCCATTTCTATACACCTCAAAGCTAATTTCTACCAGAATATATATATTCTCCCTGCTGAACCCTTCATACTCAGCACAACTGTCTATACAAATAGAAACACAAAGATCTCATTGGCCATTTTCTGTGCTGTGCAAATTCACGTGAATGATCTTTAACAACAGAGTTCAAAGTTTCCTCTTCATTCTTCTTTCAGCTTGTGTGGCTGGGGTTAAACATCTTCCTCTTTTGGTGGTTCTATCTTGCATATGATCTCCCACAAAATTTCTTCTACACCAGAGTACTCCTTGGCGTAAGTACAAAACATACATTATCTTGGCACAGAGTGCACATGCAGCATTTTTCCTAGTTTTATTTGATTGAAACAGGATTAGTTTGCTGGAGCAACAGGTTCAAGAAGGAGTTAAAAATCAAACGGATAACTGAATGCACATAGTTATCCAGAGCTTCTGAATAGAAAGCTGGTAGCAAAATAGAGAGATCTCATTCTAAAGATGTTTCCAGGTAACAATTGTGCTCATGGTAATTAAAGTGAATATGCATGGTGGCTACTTTATTAAGGAGGAGATGAATAAAGTATTGCTTCTGGAACTATGATGCAATCATTTTCCCTTCCATTTGTTTTTCGAACAGTTTATATGGCTATCAAGGGAACATATTCCTAAAAGATGAGGCAATGAATTTCCCTGGATTCTTTTTACAGAGATGCACACACAAGGGACAGTTTGAAGCTAGAGTCCTAGGCACTAACCTTCTGAAACTGAGATGAGCTTTATGAGCATGACAAAGCTTCTTTGATATTGGTGCTAGCTGCAAGAAAGACTAACCTGCATTTGTGAAGAATTCTGGATCCAGTCCCATTGCTTTTCTGAACACTAAACCACTTCCCTCTTAAGCTGTCCTTCTGTCTACCCTAATTCAGCCAACTGAAATAGCAGCGGGGAAATTTTCTTCAAATGTTGGGAAGGAAAATGCTGCTAGCTTAAACTTGCATCTGCACTTGGCTACTAACTGCCAAATGTGACAGGGAGCTTTTCATACTGCTGTGTTATTTCAAAACTGTAAATAGAAGGTAGCTTATCTGGAAGAATTTTTTCTTTCTGCATTTGTGCCCCTAACTAGGCTGGAGCATGGCTGCTCTGACCTCCAAACATTACTAACTAACTCTAAATCTCATGCTCATGAATTGTTGTGTCATAATCACATATAAAATCTATGCTTGTCTGTCTCGTAGATAATGTCTTAGGTAATTAATTTAATAATAGCACCTCTCCAATTTCAGCGTGCCTTGGCTCTGGCAAGAGCTCCTGCAGCATGTCTGAATTTCAACTGCATGCTGATTCTGCTGCCAGTATGTCGAAACTTGCTCTCCTTCCTTAGAGGATCTAGTGCGGTAAGATGAAAAAAGAATTTCAAAATTTATGACAAATAATAACCCAAGTAGCTTTGCAAGTACACCAAGAATCTTCGTCCAAGTTCCCCAAATATACCATAGTTTTGGGATGTTCTTCTTTGAAGAAGTAGATAAGCTCAGGGTTTATGCTCTGAGCAAGACTGAGGTCTATATGCCAGTGGTAAGCCTAGAGCTCTATTGAGATATTTAGCCTTGACTTAGCCTTCCTCTTTTTTTTTGTCTCCTGAACATCATGCTGTCTCAGATGCAGAGGCATATTTGCCTAGTCTATCAATGATACAATACCCATTTATAGTGGGATAAATTAGCCTGTATCTCCTTGCTTGCATATTCAGCTCTTACAGCAAATACATGCTTTCACAGACTTTTAGAAAGGGACTTTTTCAACAAGTTCATAAACTACATTCTTCCTTTTTTGCATTCCATGTCCATCTCAGGATGAGACAGTTCACCAGCCTTTTGACCATTTCTAGCTCCCAACTGCCCAGTACCAAGGAACTAAGAAAAGGACGATTGATTCTAGGTGATATCTGGAGTGGTTTCCTCCAAAGCATTGACTTTGTCACACTGCTGAAATGTAGATTGCTGTCTATTACAACAGAAACAATGCAGGGGAAAAAAAAAAAAAAAGAAAAAAAAAAAACCAAAATAATTTTATCCAGGCATCTTAAAAAAAAGTCAGCTACGATGATTAGGCTTCCAAAAGAAACTGTTAAGTTGCAAAGACCTTGTTAATACAAAATGGATGTACCTTGTCAGCTAAGGGGACCCTAGCACTTCTTGTATTTTTTTCTATTCATCCTGTTGCCTCATTTCTATCTGCATCACGGTCACTCCATTCCTATCAAAGACCAGTATGCTGCCACACCACACCTCAGTGGAATAATATTTTCCTCAAGCTCATAAACTTTCCTTCCAAATATATGATTACTCCTTTCTTTCTATCATCTTTAGCATATACGCAGTCAACAACACTAGTTCACAGAACATGGTTTTCATCTGTAAATCTATCAGAAATTCTTTCACGCAGACAAGACTGTTTATGAGGGTGGAAAAAGCAGAGCAAAAGAACAAGCAATTGTACAATACATGCAGTTTCAAGAGTCCTTCATAGCAGAGGAGAGTGGGATATAAAGCCACCAGAAAACAATCAGACACAACCCAGGCTATATACTCATCTAATACATATACTCTGGCAGTCATTGTGGATGAACGTGTGCTGTCTCTGCTCCTAAATTATATTTCCAATGCCATCCAAAGTGCTCTGGCCTTTTTTAGGCATAGCACTAAGAAATATAAACTTGGAAATATCTAGACCAGACTTTCTATCTTGTTCTATACCCCTTCAGATTCTGGGAAGTGGTAAAAGCAGACACACTGTCTCCATGTGGGTGAAAGAAAAAGAATAGTAAGTAAAAATGTAGGGCTAAAGTTGTTCTTCCTCTGCTTTGAGGAAGATCAAATAGTATATGCCACAATGACAGCTGGCTCCCCAAGCTGCAGAAGTTAATAATGAACATAAATTTAGTAAGATTTTGTGTTGTTAGATGAATACAGCTGGAAAACACTGATGAGATCTTGATCATACTAGGTCTTCATGAGATTTGAAATAGATCTCACAGGCGTCAAGCTGAAAGCAGGTTGGGAAGAGGTCTTCTGAGCTCAAAGCAATGAAAGAACTGAAGATATTTGCAGAGACATTACAGTAATGCTAAAATATGATTCCAAGGGCTGAGAATTTTATTCCAGCTGGGTCTTAATGCTGCTTGTCCCTAACTGCTCATCTCCTCTTCAGTTTGCAAGTGAGAATCATGTGGAGAGCTGCATGGTTTTGGTGCCTGCCTGCAGCTCACTGTCTGGCTGTATGAGGAAGCTAAAGGCTTTGAGGGTGTGCGAGGACACGAGGAAGGGACATAAAATAGGACTGTTAGGCAGCTGGACTTTGTTTAACTTCAATTGCTTGTTGCAATAAGGCTATACCTCAGGAAGGAGGTAATTATCTTAAGCAAAACATGCCAAGTCCAATGTGCCAGGGATAGTGCTGGGACTGTGGCAGCCTTGGTGCAGCATTACAGCTGCTTATGCTTGTTCTGCTTTTCAGTCTAATTAACTATGCTCTGGAAGCAAGACCTGTGAGGATCTCTTAAGAAAATCAGGATTTTTAAATGTCATGTAATATATTGAAAGGGTAGTGGCCTTTCCAACAGCAATGCCATTGAGGTTAGGGAGAGGGGAAATTGTTCAAACCAATTGCTCAATAGCAGCGTGCTGGAAACTCCCGCCCTTTACATCCTGCCACCCAGAAATCATGCACTACAAAGCTATTTATTTATCATTAATAGTTATGTTTTTGCATGCCCCTTTATTCTATATTCATTGCTGTTGTTAATGAGGTTCACCACTGAACCTAACTGCAGCATTTTGCTATTGCTTGGTCTTATGCTTAATTCTTCTGGTGTTCTATTATCCCTTCTGTTTCGCTCTGAATGTCTGGGATGAAGTGATCCACCCTGTTAACTGGGAAGATACTTTACCATACCATCTACAAAGTTAATGTTCAGCAAGCACTTGGATGATTATTTTGCTCTCTCAATTGGTTGTGTGAAACACCTATATGACTCTCATGCATACATGTTTTAGCTTGCTTAGTAACTTCTGTTTTTTGTCAGTCAGCAAAAGCAATATAAGGACACAACACAGAATAACTACACTTTCTTCTGTGTGGAGACAGCAAATGCTAGCTTTACAGAACATGAATTTATAGGAAAACTCCTGCTGACTATAATAGAGACTGTAATTTAGATGGGACATCTCAGGCACCTATCATAATAGTTAATGAAAATATTCTGTTTTCCTAAGAGCCGTTCTTCAGCTTGTATTAGTAGAGACTTTTTTATTCTTGTTTCTCTTTGGGTAATTCCACTGACAAGTCGCAAGTGAGTGTTTGCCAAGTATGCCCAGAGTTCTGGGAAAGGAATCACTTAGAACCATAAGTGACTGGTGTGTTTGGAGTGAAAGCACCCAAACTTGGATGCTTGGAGTGTGAACCGCAGCAGGGTCCTGTTGCTATGTGGCAATACAAGACTCTGTCTAAAACAGTCAACCTCTCCAGGCATGGCAGAGTATGATTATTCCCTCCATTTACAGCATCTAATTTAAATTTAACACAGATAAGATATATATTTTTGTCATACTTTATGTTATTTTGCTTTCTCATTGTCATATACTTTGTTTTGATTAGACATATTAAAATACAACATGTTATTATCATATTTTGAGGTATGGAGTAATATATTTTTGTTTATATTTAGGAATTCTAATTCTTTACCAGCAGCATCACCAATTCTTGTGCTCAGGGCCTCCATTTTTTTCTCTGATTTAAATAAGTGTGTGTAGGAATCACAAGTAGTCTGCAAATATTTTTTTCCTCAAACTCAAAGTGCTGCTCTACTCGTGTAAGACGGCAACTGGACAGGAACCTCACCTTTCACAAAATGGTGGCATGGATGATCGCCCTTCATACTGGTTGGTACTCAAATGTTTCTTTGGTTATTGCTTTCCTGTTCATGTTACGTAAAATCCAAATGAGATCCAAGTTCTTAAGGATACAGGAAGAGAGGTGATTTTATTAACTTAAATGAGTCAGAGTGCATCAAGGCTTGAAACATTTTAAGTATTATTCTGAAACTGATAGCAAAAGACGAATAAGAAAGGATGCTTTTCTCTTTCACTGCTAGTAACATTCATGACAAGGATTAATAAAAGGTATTTGGCAATGGCTTGAGAACCAAATAGTCTGGCTAAAATTTCTCTTTAGGCTTATTTCTTAGCTGGCACATTTGAAACAAATAAAAGAAATTATGAAAGAATTAACACTCATTGGTGATCTGAAATTGTCATGGGAGTGGCAAAGGTTCTAAGCTGCTGTTGAGAAATGCTACAAAACTTACCCAAATGTTACCCCAAAACAGGAAGCATTTACTCTGTACTTATCCCTAATTATTTCTTTTTTTTCTCTTTCCTAGCAATTCACACCATTGCACACTTATTCAATGTAGAGTGGAGCGTGCATGCACGTGTTGAAGAGGAAGGAACATTGGCAGCTATGCTTTCTAGACTTGGTGATAGCCCAAATGAAAGCTATATCAACTTTTACAGAGAAACTGTTCCGGTAAGTGGCATCCAGCTGTGAAGAATCATTATTACATTCATCTAGATGATTACCTAAGAGTATCTCAGAAGGCTGCCTATTGCTGGAGTGCATAATTTGTCTTTGAACCATTCTGCAGGAAAGCCTTTTGTAATTCATTCTCCTGTAGTGATCAATAATAGTGTTGCTGATTTTTGGTAATACCTCAAGCTTTTTTACGTGAGGATTTCAAAGTAGCTTTAAAACATAGTGTAAAAAAAAAATGCCCCGTAAAAGAAATCTTTTAACTAAGGCAGACATTCCCACAGAAAGGTAGACAGAAATTGAGAAAAACATTTGAAATTGGGTTCCCTAAGCTCAGGATTTAAAAAAAAAGAAAAGAAAAGAAAAGAAAAAAGAAAAAAGAAAACAGAAAAAGAAACCTCTCCATTTCTCAGAAGCCCAGAGAATCTGATTTTCTTGTAAGCTGGGAGATCCACAACTGCCCAGCACCACTAAAAATAAGAGCTTTAATTTAGCTCCCTAAATATGGATGTGGGACTTCAGCTTTAGCAAGAGAGCTATGCAGAAATGTTCGTTTTTCCCACACACATATTGCTGAGCAGTAGCAGAATAAGAAATAGTCCTTGGTGTGCAGATAGGTATAAAACCCTTTGTTTCTATTCTTATTTTCTCTAGCAGGAGTAGATCTGCAGTGCAACAAAATTGGAGTGTGTTTTCAAAGCATTGTTGGCAAATTCACAGAGAATAACCTAAAGATTTGCAACTGGGTGCAGGATCTGGCAAGTGAGATAGACTGATGCCTTAGCTTTGATGCAACCCCTTACTTTGACCAACATGTGCAATTATTTCACAGAATCCTGTGGGGGGCTTATATGTGGCTTTCACGTACTTGGCTGGTCTCACCGGTGTTATCATCACGCTGGCCCTCATATTAATCATCACATCATCCACCAAAATCATCCGAAGGTCATATTTTGAAGTGTTTTGGTACACTCACCATCTATTTGTCATCTTCTTTATTGGCCTTGTCATCCATGGTGCTGGGTGAGTATTTGCACTTACCATACAATACATGATCACTACTCTGTTCTGGCTTCAAACTTTCTGCTCATAGAAGCATATAGAGACTTAAGTCACTAAGGAGCAGTTACTTCTGAAGGTAATGATGTGCCATTACAGGCTATGAGGCCAACGGGCCCTCAGATACATACAGCAATTATTCACACGCATGAGACTGTATGAGACTCAGGCATGCTTAAGCTCACTGATAATCAATTTCTTATGATATGTAAATTCAAAATATTTTTTTCAAAGTGCCTGTTTCTAATTCTTAATTGATCACTGAAACCTAAAAGGAATTGCATCACACACACGTGTTCTAATGCCTGACCACCCTTTCAGAGAAGTAATTTTTCCTAATATGAAACCTGAACCTCCCCTGATGCAACTTAAGGCGGCTACCTTTATTCCTATCTCTGTTAGCTAGAAGAGGCTGCTCCCCACCTTGCCATAACCTCCTTTCAGATAGCTGTAGAGAGCAATAAGGTCTCCCCTAAGCCTCCTCTTCTCCAGACTGAACAATCCCAGTTCTTTTAGCCACTCTTCATAAGACTTATGTTCCAGATGCCTCACCATCTTTGTTGCCCTGCTCCGGACACACTCCAGGGCCTTGATGCCTTTCTTGTAGTGAGGGGCCCAAAACTGAAAACAGTACTCAAGTTGCAGCCTTACCAGAGCTGAGTACAGGGGGATGCTCACTTCCTGGCTCCTGCTGACTGTACTATTTCTGATACAAGCCAGGATGCATTTTGCCTTCTTGGCCACCTGGGCACACCAATGGCTCATGTTCAACTTAATGTTGACCAACACCCCCAGGTCCATTTCTTCCATGTAGTCTTCTAGCCAATCTGCCCCAAACCTGTAATGTTGTCTGGGGTTGTTGTTGTGGCCAAAATGCAGGACCTAGCCCTTGGTCTTGGTGAACTTCATCCATTGGCTTCAGCCCATCTGTCCAGCCTGTCCAGATCCCTCTGAAAGGCCTTCCTACCCTCAGGCAGATCAACAATTCCCTCCACCTTGTTGTCTTCTGCAAACTTAGTGAAGGTGTACCCAATTGCCTCATCAGTAAAGATACTGAAGAAGACAGGGCCCAATACTCACCACTCATGACTGGCCAGGAGCTGGATTTGACTCCATTCACCACCTCTCTCAGGACCCAGCCACCCAGCTAGTTTTTTACCCAGCAAAGAGTGTAACTGTCCAAGTCACAGGCTGACAGCTTCCCTAGGATGATTCTGTGGGAGACAGAATCCAAGTCTTCAACAGCCTTTCCCTCATCCACCAGAAGGTCATCCAGTCAAAAAAGGTGATCAAGTTGGTCAAGCAGGACCTGCTTTTTGTGGATCCATGCTGACTGGGCCTGATCCCCTGGTTGTCCCGCACTTACTGTGTGATCTCATTCAAGATGATCTGTTCCACCTCCTTTCCTGGCACTGAGGTCAGGCTGACAAGCCTGTAGTTCCCCAGATCCTCCTTATGATCTTTCTTGTAGATGAGTCATGTTGGCAAGCCTCTTGTCCTCTGGGACCTCTTTGGTTGACCAGGAGTGCTGATAGATGGTAGAAAGCATCTTGACAATAACCTCCACCAGGTCCCTCAGCACCCTCGAGTAGATTCCATCCAGCCCCATGGAGTTGTGGCAGTCTAGGTTGAGTTAAAGGTCTCTAACACTCTCCACCTGAACTGGGGGGAGTTTATTCTGCTCCCTATCCCAGATTTCCAAGTCTGGAGGTTAAGTACCCCAAGGATCGCTTGTCTGACTGTTAAAGACAGATGTAAAGAAGGCATTGAGAACATCAGCCTTTTCCTTACCCTCAGAGGTCATGTTTCAGTAAAAGATGGATATTCTCTTTAGTTCTCCTCTTTAGTTAATAATATTTGTAAAAAAAGTTCTTTATCCTCTTTTGCTACAGTGGCCATGTTCAGTGCAAGCTGGGCTTCTGTCTTTCTAATTTTTTTTCCTGCATATCCTAGCAAATTCTTTGTACTTTCCCAGAGTTGTTCATCCCTTCTTCCACAGGAGGTAAACTCTTTTTCCTCCTGGGGCCTCCGAGAAAGCTCCCTGGTCATCCACACTGGTCTTCTTTCCTGCTGACTCATCTGACAGCACAGGGGGACAGCCTGCTCCTGTGGCTCTAAGAATTCCTTGTTGAGGAGCAACCGGCCTTCCTGGACACCTTTCCCCTTTAGGTCTGAATCCCAAGGGATCCTCCCTGCCAGTCTCCTGAACAGTTCAAACCTTCCTGAAAGTCCAAGGTTTTTGCTGGCCCCCCTGCTGACATCACCAAGAATTGAGAATTCTACCTTTTAGTGGTGAATCTGTCCAAGATAGCTCCTGACCTCCACATCTGCCACCAGTCCTTCTCTGTGAACAGCAGGTCTAGCGGGGCTCCTTCCCTGGTAGGCTCTCTTACCAGCTGCATCACAAATTTGTCTTTCACACACTCCAGAAACCTCCTATACTGCTTTATGCTGTATTATATTTCCAGCATATGTCAAGGAAGTTGAAGTCCCCCATGAGAAGAAGGGTTACTGATTGTGTTACTTCTGCCAGCTGCTCATGGGATGCTTCATCCATCTCTTCATCCCGGTTAGGCTGTCTGTAACATACCCCACCAGGAAGTCAGTTCTGTTGGCCTTCCAAAATGGAACTTCAGTTTCATTTTATAAAACTACAGAACTGATGCATGAAAAGAATGCTTAAGTATCCAAGGCACATTTCATAGTTCATAGATATATTGTGCTATCCATTTAAAATGAAATTCTAGGTGTTAAAATTAGTTGAGGATTCAGAGCATTAGAAAGTCTCTTAAAAATGCCCAATAATAATGACTATTCAACAACACTTCCTCTTAGGCCAGTAGCACCATAAAAAAAAAAAAAAAAAGACAGAAATGAGACTACAGCAGGAAGAACAGAAATAGAAGGCAGATGAGAATCACCACCAGCATGTTTGTCCATTTTGACTTCTGAAACAAGAAGAATGTTAGAGCAAAAATTGAAGGAGAAGAACAAATGGCATTTGTTTCCTCTGAAAATATCATATAACTACTGACAAAACGTCTAAACTTTTCAGTAGTTACTACACAATGCTATTAGAAAGCAAACATTGCTTTTTCTAACAGTCAGTGAGTAGCATATATTTCATAAAAGTGAACTTTTTGTTCCTTCAATGATGACTATACCTTCACCATTTTAATATAGTACTGAAACGTTTAGGCAGCAGTGGGGATCCATGTAATTGTCAGACACTGCTTTGGGAGGAGATGAATACAGAAGTATGATCTGACACTATCAACGTGTTTGAAAGACACACAGATGTCATTTTATCTCAAGAGAGAGAAGGCTGTGTCAAATGTATATAAATACATACGAATATGTAGAAAACTGACGAACACATAGTTAATGGAATGAAGAGGGCAGATTCTTGTCTGATGCAAGCTGTTATAGTACTTTTTAGATGTTATTTGTTACATATCACAGATAGAAATCCTGACCTTCCCATCAATAGTAAATGTAAAGAGGAAGGAGTACAGAGATTCAGATCACTCTGCTTTGCAAATTAAAGTAAAATTTTTAACAGAAAAAGAAGAAATTAGAAGGCTATATATAGAAGGCTGAAGGCTTAATTGCAATCTTGGAAGACCATCTGCAGTGTGTAGTAAGTGAAAATAAGTCTTTGCCTTTCCTTATGCGGGCTACTGGCTTGTCAGACTTCGAATGGAGTGTAGGGCAGGGTGGAAACCACTAGCCCTTAAGAAAAGGAGTGGCACAAAACAGGCAGAAAATGGGCTCCTCCCATTCCTGTAAATCACTCCAAGGTCAGCTCAGATAAAGCCCTTGTCGCTGTTGGGGAAGTGAATTGCAGCTGATGTTGTTCCTGAAAATTGCAACTCATGATGCTCCTGGGACAGTGACATTTCTTCCCTTTATTTTTTAGGCAGGATGTTAGTCAAACCCTTAATGAGGAAGAGGTTCATTAGTAATATCTATAAGCAGTGAAATCTTTTAACTTTCAAGATTGCACACAGGCATTCTAATAATGATACATTTGTCACTTAAACCTAGGCATACATATGACTTAGATACCTAGTTTCTTTGAAATGTTAGAAACGCATTCAAGTTTAAGGAAATTGAGCTTGAAAAGCAGAAAGAGAAGTCATGGGAAGAAAATATCAACAGTTATATTGGCATAAAACCAAACAGTCTGATCAGAATCAGACCATTTCTATGGAAAGTCATTAACCTATTAATACCATCATATGGGGGGCTCTAATGTGACCCTGAGGTTGGTAGAACTTCACACATGTGCAGGAAATAGTGAACACAATCAAAATATACTTTTACTTCTCAAAACTGAATTCTTTTTCCAGCATCAGTTCTGCTGAACTGGAGCAATCAGGCTTCTCTATAGTAAAATAAATGAATGAAACAAAACAAGCAAAGCTCAAATTGGAATGTTGAGTCTGGATTATCATAACATCAGCTTGTTTAGCCAGCATAGCTCCTTTGAGCTAGAGGAACCTGTGTCCATTCACACCTACTAAAGGTCTACTCTACAGTTGTAAAGAGAGAGAAATTACCAAAGGAATAATGTTCTTCGGAAAAGGCTCTCCTCGATTTTTAAGAAAAATAACAGAAATCATTGCTGCAGTGATCAATAGGAAACTGATTATTGAGCCCACTCCATGTTTTGTTTTTCTTATTGAAGGAAAAAGTAGGATTGTTTTGAAAAGAATTGAGTTTTCCTATTGTAATTACACTCTGGAAGTGATAATAAATTTACCTCACAGTTCCTCACTTGATCTCATAGTTGGTATTTCTCCCTACAATGTTTTGGATAGATCAGAGCCATACAGAGGTATCAAAAGGTGCACTAGCACTGCAGGAGTCCATAACCACACAGAAAAAGAATACATAGAATAACAGTAAGCGACAGATATTCCTTAATTCCCATCTTACTCCCTTAGTGTTTTGCATTTTTTCAGGCGCATTGTGCGGGGACAGACAGCTTTGAGTCTGGCTGAACATATTCCAGAGGTATGCTCTAAGAACTTCACTGACTGGGGAAAGAAAGGAGCTTGCCCAGTCCCCCAGTTTGCAGGGAATCCTCCTATGGTAAGAAAAAATCCAGTACAAAAAAATTACTGTTTACTCTTTTTGTTAAATAGTATATAAACTTGCTGTACGAAGTAGTTTTGTTTACATTAAGCAAGATTTCCACATAATGGATTATAACCCAAAGTGGACTACACACAACCCACTTCCAGTGCCTCATAACAACAGCACAACTAACAGGCAAAACAGATGAGTAAATCTGAGGACTGTTTACCAAAGTGTATTTTGTAGTCATAGGGGTTCCAAAAAGTGCTATACTCTACATAATAGTTTCACATTATTAATAGCCTGATGATCATTAACAGAAAATTAATGTCCAGACTTAGGCAGAGACAAAATCATTCATAGGAAATTACCGTGCCACACCTATAGTAACAACTAAAAATGCAAATACAATTCTCATCAAAGAAAGAAATTCCCCTTCTGAACAGAACTCAGTTTGAAGGTGTCATGTATTTTAACTGTTTTTTACTCTGGTTCATAAATAACATGTAACTTGAATTTAATATCTGTTTATAGTGTTTCCAGAATTCAGTGTAATCTCAGTTGCCATCTTTGTAATTTAGCTTCCCATTTTATTCTGTTAACAGACATGGAAATGGGTAGTAGGTCCCATGTTTTTGTACCTCTGTGAGAGGTTGGTGCGGTTTTGGAGATCGCAGCAGAAGGTTGTTATCACAAAGGTATGTGTTGCTGCTATGCTTAACTCTAGGCTAAACACTAGCAGTTTTTCTAGATGGTGCAGCAAAGCCAGCGGTTCCTACATGTCAGACAGTGTTTTCACAACTAAAGACATCTCAAGAAAGTCATGGTTTCTAACAGGTAAAGAAAGTACTACTCTCTAACATCCAAGTGTAGTTGTTTCTAAGCCTGTCTCCAAAGGAGAGCAGGGAGGAAAAGTTAGCTAAGTACAATACTGAATTGTGGAGAAGAGAAATTAATTTTCTACATATCTGCTACATAGATTTTAGCAATGTAAATATTCCACATTCCCTGGCACAGAATCACAGAATTGTCAAGGTTGCAAGGGACCTCCAGAGATCATGTAGCCCACTTGCCCTGCCAAAGCAGGTTTCCTAAAGTAGGTTGTTCAGGAAAGCATTCAGGTGGTTTTTTGGTATTTCCAGACTCCACAGCCTGTCTGGGCAGTCATGTCACAGGGCACCACCAAAAAGAGCCTAGCCCCATCTTCTTGACACCCACCCTTTAGATATTTGTAAGCACTGGTAAGATCCCCTCTCAGTCTCCTCTTCTCCAGCCTGAATAGTCCCCACTCTGATCTGTCCCTTTTGGAGTGACCACAATCATGGTGCAAAGAAGTACCTTAGCCAAAAATTTAGCATCTTCTGCAGTCTTTCACTTGGCTGTCAGGCATTGCTCCTCACTCCCTGTTCTGCTGGGAACATTTCACCTGCTTTTCCTGCTCTTGTAGGAGAGGGCAATGCTAGCAATGAAAAATGTAGATGAAACCAGTGAACAGGGAAGATACCCTTTTACTTCTGCCTTTATTTTCCCTTGTCCCTCTTACTGTAGGTGGTGATTCATCCCTTCAAGACAATTGAGCTCCAGATGATGAAGAAGGGTTTCAAGATGGAGGTCGGGCAATACATTTTTGTCAAATGTCCAGCAGTGTCTAAACTGGAATGGCATCCATTCACATTAACCTCTGCCCCAGAAGAGGATTACTTCAGCATTCATGTCCGTATTGTTGGGGACTGGACAGAGGGCTTGTTCAATGCCTGTGGATGTGATAAGCAGGAATTCCAGGAAGCATGGAAGTTGCCCAAGTATGTACAGAGTCAAGCATTATAAAGTCAACCAAAATCTAGGGCAGTTGAAATTTTGTTGAACCCAATTGGTGGCATCTGTGATACAATCCTTAACAACTTCTGTCATGGATGTTGGTCTTAGACTGCTTTGTCTAAGTCAGTTCCCTCCTCTACCAATTCCACCTTTCCTTATTCTTTCTGGTGCAACAGGCAAATACCTTACCTTTCTGTTGTTGTTTTAAATGATGCTAATAAATATTCACTATCTATTTCTTGAATGTACTTTTGATTTCAGGATAGCTGTAGATGGCCCCTTTGGAACTGCCAGTGAGGACGTGTTCAGTTATGAAACTGTTATGCTGGTTGGAGCTGGGATAGGAGTAACGCCATTTGCATCGGTGCTCAAGTCTGTCTGGTACAAATACTGCCACGATGCAACCAACCTAAAACTTAAGAAGGTATGTGCCCTCTTTGTCACAGAGATTTCCCAGAACCCATTTAGTTGTTGGAGGACCAACGGTCAAAATCAAAACAATCAATCCCAGAAAAGTGATCATGGAAGCTGGAAGATCAAAACTGCAAAAATAAAAGAGAGAGACAGAAAGAAATACCCTAGGAGCAAAATCCAACACCCAAATCCTTGCTGTAGTTCTGGGGATTTCCACCTGTGTGGGAAGTGCCATTCAAGCCGTGCAAGAAACACAAGACATGCTGTTAATTCACAGGCACTAACTACAGCTCGTGCAAACATTGTATACCTTCCCTAAGAACAGAGAGAGTAACTCTGAGTCAGTGGAAGCACAATGCTACCATCCTCCTCTTACCTCCCTGGAAAGTCCCTGTGCAGAGGTGTGGGGTCACACTGCAGTTACGTTTGTATTCAGTGGACAGAACTGGTTTTGCTACTTGCTTAAATTTACCTTCCCTGCTAGCAGATGAGAGATGGAGTCTACCAAAGTCATTATTTTATGTCCTAACAAACTTTCACAGGGATAAAACTGGTGAAAGCATCCCCAACTACAAATGTGACCCACCAGCAGGAGAGAAAAAAAGATATTTCCTTGTTCTGCTTCACAACCCTCCCACTATCCAAACTCCTGAATAGCTTCAGCACCAGCCTACCCATTTACTGAATTGGTCAGAGCAATATCTTCAAGAACTCTACAGTCCTTCTTTAGTCAGCTAATAGAAACTCAGAAACCTCAGTGCCTATGTCCCCTGACAGTTCTCTCTTCTCTCTTCCAGATCTATTTTTACTGGCTTTGCAGGGACACTCATGCCTTTGAATGGTTTGCTGACCTCTTGCAGTCTCTGGAGACTCAAATGCAGGAGAGGAATAATGCAGAGTTTCTCAGCTATAACATCTACCTTACTGGCTGGGATGAAACTCAGGTAATATCACTGTGGAAAATGTCACCACCTTGTGCTCTGAGGCTGATGTTAGAAAGTGTGTTATGTTTTGATAAATGTTCATATGGTCATTATTCCGGGCTTCCACATGGCTCTCAGGGGTTTTAAGTGCAGATAATTATTACTCACTAGAGCTTACATGAGATTGGCTGCTGATGTGCACTGACTTTCTCCTTTTTTTTCACTCTGGCTGTGCATGCTGGGAAGCAGTATTTCCTTACAGCATCAACCTCAGTTCAACCTGCAAGCGTATCTAAGATAGCCATTACTGCTTACAGAAAAGTTAATGCCATTCTGGGGAAGCTAATGCAAAAAATTTGAGTGATGGCAGCTTATTTGTTTCAGAACATTCATGAGTTCTTCATCTGATCCCATGACTATAGGTTGGAGAAGAGTGATGAAGGAACAGCTCTTCCATGACTCAGTAGAGAATGTGATTCAGTAAGGAAAGGTGCTCACTCTGTTACTTTTAGTGGTGCTTTATTTCAGTTATATCTCGCCTTTGAAAAATTCACTGTGTGTCTAAGTATAGCTCAACTATAGGGATAGAGTAGCAGTAATGTAGGAAGTTACCTCACACATACAGTGAAAAAAACATGAAGGAAAGAAGAAAAGTCATGCAGTTCTTGCTTTTGGAGAAAGTTCTAAGTTTTTTGGCTTTAGAACTCAGCAAGGGCTCAACTTTAGCCCTAAAACTGTCTTCTATTTCCTCCTGCATCTACTTAGATGATTCTAGGTGAAATTTACATAGAGACAGTAGACAAAACGTCCTCATATGGATCAGACCTTCCAGAGATCAAATTGGCAGAATTGCATTAAGGTCACAGGAGTTGTATTACTGTAAGGAAAGGGAAAGAGTTGTTTTAATTTGCAGCTTTATTTTGCAGTTCTTACAGGACTAAAACAGTTCATTGCAAAAGGAACATAATTGTTATGTGTTCAAAGTGTTCAGTTCTTGAGATAACCCAGACTGGGGGAAAGAGAGAGATGGACACTGCTGGTCAGAACTTTACTTGTGTTAATTTTCCTTTTCAAATACCATAAATTCTACAGGAATGTTCTTGGAATGCAAATAATTTGGTGCATATGTCATGACACTATGCTTTGTCTTTCATTTCTCACAGGCTACTCATTTTGTAATGCATCATGAAGAGGAGAAGGATGTGATTACAGGTCTTAAACAGAAAACATTGTATGGAAGACCTAACTGGGAAAATGAGTTCAAAACCATTGCGAGGCAGCATCCAGGGTAATCTTGTACCAATTGATAGTGTCCATGAATGTCCTCTATTTAACTGCCATAATAATAATTATAATGTTGATAATATTTTAATAACAGTCTCCAAGTATTTTCTGATCTGGTTTCAGCCAATTCAAAAAAAAGATCATCCGTATGTGGTGAGACACTTGATGCAGTGTCTAATTACTAGCAGATGTTTTAGGAAAAATATATCCCATCTTTCAAGTTGAAGTAGATAGGAATGTCACTCAACTTCTAAATACTTCTAAAATAACACCTTGTACCTCAAGAAAAACTAAACCAAAACAAAAAGCAACACCTGAGTACAGATGACTTTTAGCTGAGCATCTGAACTTAGCAGGAAAAAAAAACTGATTTGTTCCTTTTACAACTTTTTGCCATAAACTCTTTGAGGCTTTACTTCACTAATTCCAGTGAAGTCAATACAACTGTCTTCACTGACTTCTGCTGAGCTGAGATTTAACTCGCCACCTGGTTTAGAAGTGGCACTAAATGTCTCGCAAGTTTGAACGGCTGATAAGTTTTAAAGGACAAACTTTATATAATTTGCTTTATAAAGCTGTTCTGCTTTATTTTCTGTAGCTGAGAAAAAATATTTGCTGCTAGAGAACATAAGATTGATTTACATGAACATCCAGGTACTCTATGTCTAGTTCCTGACCATGTTTCCATTTTCTTAACAGTTCCAGAATAGGTGTTTTTCTCTGTGGACCCGAAGGCTTAGCTGACACGCTCAACAAGCAGAGCATCAGCAACTCAGAAGCTGACCCACGAGGAGTACACTTCATTTTTAACAAGGAAAACTTCTAACTCCCACACACGTGGCGGTCATTCAGTACAGTCTGAACACTGATCTCTTTCTGTTTGGAGTCTGGGAAGGACAGCCCAGCTTCTAATCTCAGCTACACTAACACATATCCTTTGCTTCTTTGGAGTTATTTTGACACTGTGGTAGAGTAAGAATGAAGTGTCACCTTAGGAAAGTTTGCACTGCCCCCTGCATGCTGGCAATTTAGCCGAAACCTCTTTTGTCTTCATGGGGGGATTTCCTCTCAAATAACTGCCTTTATCCTCCTGTTATTCATAATGACTGCTGAAGGTTCTAGACAGCCATATGCATTTGGAATGCAGTTCACATTGATAAAGCTTAATGCTATTAAACAAGAAAGCATTCTGGTGTAATGCTTGCTACTTAGAGACAACTTATGCTGGCTATAGAGAGTACTTCGAAATAGGAATTTAGGAAAGGGTGAAGGGGAAAGATTTCTTCCTAAAACAGGAAATCTGCTTTGAACACAAGCATCTCTGTTTCCAAAGACAGGCATAAACACTCTGTCCAGGAGCCAGTGTGAGTAGCTGAAAAACAACCAATTCTCTTTAAGAAAGCAGAGTACTGAAATGACCTGGATGTCAGATCACCACTGACACCATGCCACAGCTGCAGTCAAATTTGCAGACAAGTTTGTGCAGCTATCTGGTTGTATGTGGCATATTTTACCACCCCACCTTGCAAGACCTGATGTGTTCTCCTTTTAAACCATTTGTAAACATTATCCAAGCACTATGTGCTACCTCAGAAGGACAGATTACCATTTTGTTATATATTAATAGGAAACTGCCATATGACACATCTGAAAGGCAGGAAGTCACAGCTGGTAAACGCTAGGACAAATCAACCCTTGGGGAAATTTTCAGTTCTTTCCCTCAAAAGGACCATGTTTAAATCTACATAATTCAGTTTGCAACCCACTTATTAAATGAGAACAGAGCTTAAGTGGAATTAAAGAAACTTCTTTTTTGGAATAAAATGAATTGCTATTGAAATGATAAGGATCTCATCCTGCACAGGGAGCACTGAAATATTTGGCTTTGATTTTAATGGAAATATCATCAGAATTCTTACAACTCCAGATATCTTTCTTTTTGTAGACAGTTCTAATGACACTCCCAGACCTGCTGCATGCATATACCAGGGATCGTTTGTCCCTTCAAACTCAGAAAAAGGAATCCTGTGCTTATTATTAAACCACTGCCTTCCTAAAACATACAAAAGAGCAAGCAGATGAAAGCTTCTCAGTTTCCTTCTAAGTTTTGTTTTATTAAATGCTGCAAAAATATAAGACATGCATTATCAGTCATCACTGAATATGAAGTTTATTTTAAATGTATGATACGTAGTGAAATGGCACTGAAATACAAGCATGAGGAAGAAACTAGTTTGAAACCTCCCTATTGTTCAGCAAAGCATGGAATAATGTTGGTACTGTTTTAAATCAATGCTGCTGTCTACCGGAGTGCTTAAAAGGAGTAAAGTCCTCCTTCCAAATGCTTGCCTGATCTATAAAAGTTCCCCACATCTGTGGTATTACTGATGAGCTACAAGAAACCAACCATTTCTTACATGGTGATGGCTGTGACAACGCTACTGCTTCCCACACAGGACATACAGAGCTCTTCACTGATCCTGAGGAGAGAGGTAGGGGTGCAGCAGGCTACAGCTGAGACTACAGGACAGTCCAGTTTTATGGCCAGGTGACACTGCTTGGAATCTGACCACTGCTGTAGGCTGGGCTTCTTGTTGAAAATTTCCTCCTTCCGGGTGTCTGGGGTTTTCCTATCACAGGGGCAACAGCAGGGGTAGTTTTTGCAATCAATAGATTTCTTTTGTTGTCAAATTTCTGGCTCCAAAGAGCCTGCTCTGGAAACAGAAAATGCTTCTTGCTTTTGGGAAATGTGGTATTCAGAAGTTTAAGCAAAGTTACCTGGTGGATGACCTTGATGCAAGAAGCAGTGGCAAGATTTTCTGAAAGGCAGAGGCATCCCAAGGTTGTTCCTGTGGACAGTTGGGGGAGGCGGTGCAGGGGAGGAAGGATGGCAGCCAGAGGCAGAAGTCAGGACTTGACAGAACTCCCTCTCATTGATGAGGATCTATTGCCACTCCAAAACTCTTCCCACACTTGCTGGGAGCCAAAGTAAATGTGCCATTGGGATTGCTCAGGTAGAGCTCTGACACTGCCCATGCCTGTGGGGGGCTTTGAAAACCCTCAAAATCCTCCTCAATTCCAGTGGGGTCTGAACATTAAGTGTGGCTCCCTCAGTAAGGCTGTCCTATAGTATCCTCCAGTCTTATCTCTGCTTCTTCTGTAGGAATGACTGTAAAAGAAATGAGCACCTCTTATCCCTCCTGACACAACCAGCAGTGACAGTTGTGTAGGACTTGTGATTTGCAGTACTGAACTCAAGCTGCACCTAAGTTTATGAAGATCGAAGCCCAATCTGTCCTTTCATCCAGCTACGAAAATTCCCTACTCAAATGAAAAATGCTCTGCTGATGGCAAGAAGAGCCAGTTGGTGTTAGATTGGAAAAATAAATGCTTTACCTAATGGAAAGAATTAGCAGTTCAATTCAAACAGATGAAGAGAGAAATTGATCTCACTTGTGACTCCCAGTCAGCGTTTTTTTTACTTCCCTTCTTATGTAATATTTTGTCTGTCTTCCCAAATGCAGCCATCTGAAAAAAAGAATTTGATTAATTAATCAATATCCTTAAATATAGTTAAGGAACCAGATCCTCTGGAGTGCTGGTCAGCTCCCATTTCCCATCTTTATTTTGGAAACTGGAAGGGGTTCTGGAGGAGGCACCTGGACATAGCTGGCTAACATATGTGAAATCTCAGCATGCACCAAATTTCATCTTCTTCCTTCCTTCCTTCCCTGGTAAATACTTGCAAAGCTGCCCACATGCAAAGGAAATCCAAGTTTTCATAAATTTTAACCTGTAATAAAGACACTGTTCTGCCTGTTCACCATCACACATCTCCCAGGGGAAACCAGGCTAGTTGTGAAATAGAGCTTCCTCTTTTCTGTCCTGTATGAGTTTCTCTGCTGGGTGGAGACTTTCTGCATTTCAGTCCTCAAGTGATGGGTTAAATCAAATTAGAAACGAAAAAGTTGCCTATCAAACACTTCTGCAGGTTCATTCTCTATCTTGGAATATTCTTAACAAATTCATTTTGACTGTTCTTATTTTTCTATCCTTCAGTGTGGGTTTGTGTTTGTTAATAGCAAATATTAAAATGTTAATGGTTCTAAGAGCTTGCAGCATCAAATGCTCACATCTGACTGAATACAACAGCAACAGTTCCACAGATGCAAGCCAGTGTAATTATTCGTCATGAAGCACACATTTGTTTTGGCATCTGATAGAGACCCTAGCAAGCCACTGGTCTCATTTACATTCACCACACACAAGCCAGATCAGACAAGCAGAAATTAATAGGCAGCAGAGCAGAAATGCATTGTAAGAATTGCAGAAAGCTTACAAATGCCTTCCAGCTGTGCACCAGATCTGCAATTCTGCTAAGTCCATTCCTCCCTTTCCACTGGTGCTCTTTTGCCTAGACACTGCATGGTTCTCTCTCTGCTTGCCCAGCTACTAGGGATTTCTCTCCGTTCATTGCTGCTTCACTCACCCTCTTCATCTTGCTCCTCAACTCTGCAAATCTCTGGAGAATCTCCAGTTCCCACAGTGCTTCTCATAGTTTTGCAAATGCTTGGGCCCACTGCAAGTGCAGGAAGAGGCACAGGGAGCTTTGCTCCGAGCTCTAAGCAGTGCAGCACATGTCTCACAGGACGTGATTCAGCTGCAGCCTCCCCTGTCACTACAAATGAACCAGGGCTGTAGGCAGCTCTGCTTTGTCCAGACAGACTGTTTTGTTTCCCTCCAGTAATATTTTGTCTCCACATTTAACTACTGTGTTTGGTTTTTTTAATAATCATTATTACTTCAAATTCTACATAGAAGATTTATGAGCTCCTATGTTTTTTAAAAACACGTGGAAGTCATCTGGTACCATTGTGGTTTAACCTGGCTGGAAGCTCAGCATCACACAGCTCACTCTCCCTCAGTGAAATAAGGGAGGGAATTGGAAATTAAGTAAAACCCATTGTTTGAGATAAAGATAGTTTAATGGGACAGAAAAAGAAGAGAAAATAATAATGATAATCAAAAAGAATACACAAATCAATGATACACAGTGCAACTGCTCACCACACACTGACTGATACCCAGCCAGTCCCTGAACAGCCCCCACATCAGCTCCCCCAGTTTTGTAGTTCAGCGTCTGGTACAGGACATCCCTTTGGGCAGCCTGGGTCAGCTGTCCTGGCTGCATTCCCTCCCGGGTCCTTCCATATCCCAGCTCCTTGCTGGCAGGGCAGCATCAGAAGCTGAAACGTCCCTGGCTCTGTGTAAGCATTGCTCAGCAACAACTTATACATCGCTGTGCTATCAACATTCTTTTCATCCCATGTTCAGAACACAGCACTGTACCAGCTGCGAGGAAGAAAGTTGTCCCAGCCAAAACCAGGTCAGGTGTTAAAATCAGAAAATCAGAAAATATCATTGGCCATGTATTTTATGGCCTTCAGAACAAGTAGATTTTGGAGACATCTTTAGTCAAGTAACTCTGAAATAAAAGTGTAGGTTCTTCTTACATTATTGTTGTATTTTTCATATGCCTGTGGGTTTCAGTTGACCATGAAAAAGTCCAGGATTTACACTGTTCACTCATTGTGTGATTGAGAGCAGTGAGAAAACTACAGTAGAATTTTCCTTAGTACCAGCTGGGTCCAGAAATGGCATAAGGAATAACGAGGACAGGGCAATTATCATCGTCTCTTTGCAGTTACCAGACCAAAATGTTGTTGCCAATGCCAGTGATAACAAAAGAGAACTTTGGCAGAGCAGAAGTCTGGTTTCATCTAACAGCCTTTCCACTTCTCTAAACTGAAGAGATTTCTACCTCACAGTCCCAAAGAGACAAAGCATAAGTAAATAGCCTCAGCCTAGGACTGGATAAGCTCCCATGAGCAGCTAGTGAAGACAGTTGCTGCTGTGGTTTTACCACCCTTTTGACCTTTTTCTATACTTCCCTTTCATCTGTGGTAACTGATGCTGGGTCAGATGAGGTTTAACAAAAGCAAGTGTAGAGTCTTGCATCTGGGGAGGAATAATCGCATGCACTGGTACAGGTTGGGGGCTGATCTGCTGGAGAGGAGCTCTACGGAGAGGGACCTGGGTGTCCTTGTGGACAACAAGTTGACCATGAGCCAGCAGTGTGCCCTTGTGGCCAAATGGGCCAATGGCATTCTGGGGTGCATTAAAAAGAGCGTGGCCAGCAGGTAGAGGGAGGTGATCCTCCCCCTCTACTCTGCCCTGGTAAGGCCTCATCTGGAGTACTGTGTCCAGTTCTGGGCTCCCCAGCACAAAAAAGACAGAGACCTCTTGGAAAGAATCCAGTGGAGGGCCACAAAGATGGTGAAGGGCCTGGAGCATCTCTCCTATGAGGAAAGGCTGAGTGAGCTGGGTCTGTTTAGCCTTGAGAAGGAAGACTGAGAGGGGACCTGATCCAGGTCTATAAATATCTGAGGTGTGGGGGGCAGAGTGGCGAGGCCAGACTGTTTTCAGCACTCTGTGGAGACAGGACAAGGGGAAATGGCCAGAAGCTGGAGCATAGGAAGTTCTGCACAAATGTGCGCAAGAACTTCTTTATGGTGAGGGTGACGGAGCACTGGAACAGGCTGCCCAGGGAGGTTGTGGAGTCTCCTTCTCTGGAGATATTCAAGACCCGCCTGGATGCCTACTTGTGCGACCTGGTATAAGGAACCTGCTTTGGCAGGGGGGTTGGATTCAATGATCTCTGGAGGTCCCTTCCAACCCCTATGGTTCTGTGATTCAGTGATTCTGAGATTCTGTGATTCAAGTCTGTTTTCAGGTGGCAAATTCACACAAGCTCTCTGAGATCTGAACTTTTCTCAAATAGCAGCAGGGATATAATCAGAAAAGATTGCCAAACAATAAGGAAACACCTTCTAGAGCAACCTCCCTCAGAAGACAGATAAAGAGCCCTGTAGGTGATCAGCTGCTTCCTCCTGCTCCAAAATAGTGAAAGTTCCTCCCAGCTGTGAAAAGTCCGTGAAATACTCTCGCTGTACCAGTGCTGCAAATGGCTGAGTAAACATGTGGATCCTCTTCCATTACTGTTGTCTGTCTCACATGTGCACAAATCAATGCACTCAGCAGCAAAGACTCAATTCTACAAACCAAAATAAATAATAAAAAGGGTGTGTAAAAAACAGCAACACGGGCAGCAACAAAATACTATTTATAGAGTACTAACTAATGCTCACTTACCCAATACTGCTTTGCTTTCAGTTTACAGAAAACCCCTAAAGACCACAGTTTCTGCCACCGGTATTGCTGCAGCTGCGAGTCCTTTCACTGCTATTTCATACCCTGAGATAGGCAGCAAAACCCACATTGTAAATATAGCCAGGGAACCTTGCTTAAGGTTACTCACTGTCGTTAACAAATGTCCCAGTGCCTTTATTTGAATTAATCTGTCCGACGTTCAGCTGGTACCAAACTAGAAGCCATCGTAATGAATGAAGTTACCAGCTGGGGATATCAGTCACATCACTCACTGCCTGAGGCTTTCCAGCAGCCCTACAATATGTGGTGAACATTTCTCCAAGGAACAGCTCTGAACATCAGCTCTGCTCTACAATAACCACACTGATATGAGCATTGGTCAGAGTTTTTCATAAGAAGGCCAATATATTAGTGTATTGACAGGACTTAGCCAGAGCCCTTTTCTGATATGTCACAAGAAGACAATATCCTATTTGATCCCTGTATGTACTTATTCTGTAGGAATCTGTATGCTCTAATCTACTTCAGGGTGATATTGGTGATGGTTAATCAGTGTTACCAATGATGAACTGGAGATACATTCCCTGTAGCAAGTCTGGGGAGAGGATCTTAAGTTTGGAGGAGGCTGGGGCCAGCAGTAATCAAGGGAGACAATGACAGCGTGCATATGAATGTTCACTTGTGAAGCTGGATAGGGAAAACAACAACACCAAGCTACTAGGCTGAAAAAAAAAAAAGCTGCATTTCTCAGAGGTCAATACAGGCACCCTACTATTATGAAAATCCATCAGCTACACATATTTATTTAAGAAACAGAAACTAGCCCCAAACACAGGAAAATTATGAAAATCCTTCTGTTATTTTCAAGTCATTTGCAGATATCAAACTGTAACCCATTCAGGTTGTCACTTCCTCTTCAGAAGTAACAGATGTTATTAGCCAAAGCCCACCTAATTTGTTTCAAGGTGCTGAGCCTTCCCTTCTCCCTCTACCAATGTACAAAAACAGTGTCCATCACCACCTAAAGGGGACAGTTTCTGTACGTTGTAACCACAAAAGAAAGCAAATTCCATGGGCTCAAGCTAACTGCTTTACCTACCGATCGGGTATTTACTCTTGACAAGGAAAGTGTCAGTGCGTAAGACTGCACAGGACTGCCCTTTCTTATCTTGTAAATGCCACACAAGCTGTAAAGCAAACCTCTCACACTGTTTGTCTCTTTCTCCACCCAACTCCAGAATATTTTCATCTTTAAAAAAATATCAATACAATCTCTTGCAAATATAACTACCAGCCCTCCTTCACTTCCATCTCTTACCAAAAAAGGTATTTTATATTATTACTGATGCTTCCAGTTGTCATCTTAAACCTTCTCTGGTCTTACTTTTTACTGGGTGCGACTCTCAAAACACTGTCACTACAGTTTCTAAGTATGCAGATCCTCAGCCCTCTGGCGTTGTTCTTTTTGACCTATCAGTCAGCAACAACATGCCTATCTTTGTCCATATCTTAATTTCCCTTTACCTGGTACCAAGCACACCATATCATCAGGTTAGCTCAGGATCTGTGCTTTCCAGGCAGCTCAAACTTTCTGATACCCATGCCACCTGCCTGCCAGCTCACACGCAGATTGAGTTGCAAACCAGTTGACTTACCAAACCAAGACTTAAAGAGGGATTCACATTACCTCCCTCCATGATTACAGTTGTTCCCTTTTGTTCATACTAGAGAATCTGTTCCTCATACATCTCTTCTAAACACTACTGCAGGTCTTACTTCTAGTCCATTACTGACCTGTTCCTCCTTCCTTAGCCCTTTTTCCTCCATCAGCACAAATACACTCAGCTTACACTGATTTCATGGCTGTTCATAGCCTACCTCCTATCTGCCTTCCAAAGCAAGAGCCAGAAAATCTCTGCTCCACCCACCAGATCATTACATCATTCTCTCATTCCCATGTCTTAAATTGTCAGCAGGCATCCTCTGAAGGTCTGATCACTCTTAAGAGAAGTTCCCTGTAAAACACTACAAAGCTAGCTCATTAACTGCCCTAAATACCAGCTGTTTTCAGCAGTTTTCTGGAGACAGTCCAGCTGCATTTAGGACAGCTAGCCAAAACCAGCAGCCAGCTTCTCAGACAGCTGGACCAATAATTTCACATTTAACACTCTCCTCAGAGCCTGCTTGTCTCTCCTGACTTGGTCCAGAGGCTCTGGACTCTCTTGCCTTACCTGCTGTTGTGATGTGCAAGCCCTCTGTGCATTCCTGGCTCTATCCACATGTTCTCTGCCTTGATCTCGAGACAACTGCTCGACTCAAACATTGACTGTCTATTGGCTTTGCAGTCCAACTGAACAGCATTCAGATAGCGGCCATGCTTTTGTTTTACGTCTGAATAACATGCAGGGGAACACTATTCCCAATTCAGCTGCATATCAGCTGATTGGGAGTTTGCCTGTCATTTACATCTGCCCATGTATGTATGAGCAAAAATAAAACACCTGGAGACCTATATTCTTTCTCAAGTTTTAGTCTCAGTTGTCTCTCACTCTGCTTTCTCTGCTTTTCTCCATTTCAGGTTTGGCTTCTCAGTGAGAAAAAAACATGCACATTTTTACATTGCATAGTCCCCTGCCCAGCTTCAGCAAGCTACGAGCAAGAAGGAGGCTGGTTATATATAACACCAAGTCTATTTTTAATTCCCCAGCATCTGTACAGTATCGATAGATACTGCTGTGATATAATATATGAAAGACAGTGATGTTTCTCCTCTCAAGAGGAAGTACGTTAATTGTAGAATCACAGAATATCCCGAGTTGGAAGGGACCCAAAAAGATCACTGAGTCCAGTTCTAGGCTCCACACAGGACCACCCAAAATCAAACCCTATGTCTGAGAGCACTGTCCAGATACTCTCTGAACTGCAGCATTGGTGGCCGTGCCCATTACCCTGGCAGCCCGTTCCATGCCCACCGCCCTGTGGTGCAGCCCCTTTCCCTCACCCCCATCTGCCCTCCCCTGACACAGCTCCATGCCGTTCCCTCGGGCCCTGTCGCTGTCACACAGAGCAGAGCTCAGCGCTGCCCCTCTGTTTCCCCAACACCAGAATTAGAAGTGTGCCATATATAAGCACATGTACAGAAAACGTACTTCTGTGTGGCCTGAGAGAGCCTCAAAAAAAATGGCTGAAGCCGGGATGTGCGATTTGCAGAGCTCACAGCGACTGCAGCACCAGCTCCTGAGCTCCCCACCAGAAAGCAGAAAGGGCACCGGGGTGATATCTGCAAGCCAGCAGTGAGGGACAGCGCCGCAGAAATGACGTTTCGAGTAGAAGGACGTGGTGCCTGGGGACATGATTTAGCAGTGGGCTGTTAGAGTGAGGGTAGTATGGTTAGCCTGAGGTTGGACTTGTTGATCTTGAGTCTTTTCCAAACTGGTCAACCCTACGACTCCATGGCCTCCCAGTACCACAGCAGCGCAGTAGCGACGCCCCACCCGCCTCACCGCCTCCCGCCCCGCAGCGCCGCCCGCCGGCGGCTGGCAATGCCGACCCCTGGCTTCCAGTAGAGGCAAACCGCAACAAACCTTCACGTACAGGTAACGAATGTGTTTAAAAATTGTAGCGTCCCCACAAAACTCGCCTGTCTTTCTCTCAGATGTCCGTGCTATGGTATGGCCCAGTAGGCCTCTACCAGCTTGATTCCAGCTACCAGTGTGTTACTGCAACATTGATCACCCTTTTCCATTGCTTCTTGCTCAGACTGTGGAAGAGGAGTTACACAGAAGCTTGTATTTGTCCCTCTAGTGCCATTTTGTTCCCTTTTAAAAACTCTATATGAAACAAACATGCTGACACGGTATGGTTCCCATCTTTAAAGACAAAGGCTCTACAAACAGGCGAGCTAAAACCTCCAGTTACTCAGCGGTGACTTAGACTCATCAGAGCAGAAAAACATCCCTCAGTGGCATCAGACTGCAGCCTTCCCTCCGGTATGGGAGAAACAGAAACCCCGTCCTCCGCATGGCAAAGCACACTGCTCCCTCTGCTGGCACAGGCCAATAGGGCAGAGCACCTCCACCGCAGCTACGTTTGTTGCTGCAGTCAAAGAGTATTGCATCCAAGCTCACTCACCTAGGGAAAACTGCCTTTGGCCTGGGAATGCCCTGTGAGACACAGGCAGAGCCTACTGGCTCGGGATATTCTGATTTGGGATTTGGTCTGCTCTGCACTTAGTGACAGCGTGATTAAAAAAATCCCCCTTGGAATTAAATGTAAGCAAACTGACTAGGTCAGCCTGTACAAAAGCCGGCAAGGTGCATCCCCATAATCGGTTAAGAACTGCTCATTACAGGATTTCCTGCACTCCTCTCTGAAGGATCTGCAGTCTGTATTAAAGCAAAGAATCACAGAATCATAGAATGGCCTGGGTTGAAAAGGACCACAGTGATCATCTAGTTTCAACCCCCCTGCTATGTGCAGGGTCGCCAATCACCAGACCAGGCTGCCCAGAGCCACATCCAGCCTGGCCTTGAATGCCTCCAGGGATGGGGCATCAACCTGTTCCAGTGTGTCACCACCCTCTGTGTGAAAAACTTCCTCCTAATATCTAACCTAAACCTCCCCTGTCTCAGTTTAAAGCCATTCCCCCTTGTCCTATCACTACCCATCCTCGTAAACACTCATACCCCCACCTGTTTATATGCTCCCTTCAAGTATTGGAAGTCCACAGAGAGGCCTCCCTTTTTTCTCTGTATAGCAGCTACAGAACTAATGCATACAGGCTAGTGATAACGTTCTGTCTTTTATGGCATTTAAATTGTCAGCCAAATGTAAAATAAACAGGCTAGCTACAAGCTGGGAATTCAATAGCTTCTACATAGTGCTTTAGATTGCATGAATATAAATTGACCATAGAAGGATTTGTACTAGTTTCCTTGAGCAAGTATAAAGGGAAAAGAGGCATCACACCTTCCCTTTCACACAATTCTGATAAGAAAACTCTTACATGTTTTTTTTGTAGCAGAGGAATAACAGGTGTCTTTTGTCATGAAGTCATACATGGATCATACAACTCCATGTATCAGGCTATAATTTGATGCACATTCTTTTGTCCCACTAATAAGACCTAAATTGTTAATAACAACTTACTCCCACAACAGTTAAGGAAATTATCATATTAATAGAAAGCACTATCGAAGTGTATCCCCATATTCTGCAGTCCAGAGTTTCATACTTGAAAAAAAACTACTTGGGAAATGAAGCAGTGTTGGTCAGAATTCATTTTGAGAGATGTATTAAACACAAATAGTTGTCTGTACCCACAAATGGGGGTAGGCAGTTGAAAGATGGAAAAGAAGTCATATTTGGTAGGATATGATGAAGAATGCAAATACTTTTCCCAGACTTTTGTAATAATCTTCCTGAAGCAATGAAAACGGTCTACTGCATTGCCATGACAAACAGAACTGAGTTGATAAAATATGTGGGAAACAGTCGACATCTGGGAATTAGCCTTTGATGTGTCTTGTCTCTGATATGCTGGCACAACTTGGAATAAATTTCCCACGTTCTCACTATTGTATACAAGTGAAGGGAAGTAAGAGAAATACTGCTCTCAATCACCGTTTGCATAGATCAAACACACAAGGCAGAGATACAACTAAGGCAAATCTTTAGTTTTTGATTTTGGTAGAAAGAAAAATGAAGCATTCTTACAATTAAGCAGCATTTTCCAGGTTTCTTTTGCAGTGGAACTTTCACCAAGCCTCATTAAACTGATAGTCCTGCTCAGTGCATCTTATTTTCAAGTAAAGCAGAAACACCAAATAAGTTACAAATAGCTGTACGGAATACTTCTGAGCACAGCACCTGAACACCCATTAAATAGGGATAACGGCCACTTCTACTTTTACATCTCACACTACAGCAACCCTACCTTCCAGTTGCTGCTCCACTTACCTTTTTCATTTTGTGCAATTCTGAAAATCAGTGAAACTCTGCATTTTTGTTAGTTTCACAAGTCAGCTCTTAAGTGGCAGCACTGCATTCAGAAAGTGCTGTTCTAACCCATACGAGGTTGAATTGCTATATATCTGAAAGTCAGTACAATATACATATACATCTTCACACTTTACTTGCCTTTAAGGCAAAGGTAACACTACAGTGCTTAATTTTACTTGCACTCAGGTAAAAGCAGAACTCTATTCGTTTGCAAAGCAAGGGCTTTTCAACAGCATTGTGAATTACACGTTCCATTTGTATGTAGTCTCACAGCAGCTATATGAATACACAATTTAAGCAATGACACAATTTTTAGCTTACTCTTTGTACAGGTCACTTGCTATACGACCTAATAGTCAGTTACCAGAAAACCAAACAAAACTGCGTAACAGTGCTTTAATACTCATCTGTTAGAACTGCAGGACAGCCTTACAGTAGCTGTTAGGTAGTTACTAGTCTCTTCCAAAGACATGCAGTAATGAAGAAAAAGCTCTATCCTTAAGCAGCATCTGATAAAACAACTTAATGTAGCTGCCACTTAGTGGCAGCAGTCATTCAGGCATTTTTGGTATTGATACATCTTTATCACATATATTGTGCATTAATAAAGAAAAATGTAGGCCCCAATCTAACAAATACTTGTGCAAATGCTTTTCTTCCATGTGGAATAATTCAAGTTAAGACTCATCAGATGAACAAATTTAAGAACTTGCATAAATCTCGATAGGGTGGGAATTCTTAGTGTTTAAAATAGAACTATTTTTTAATAAGATTATGATTAAATTCTAGATTTAGAGAATATAGGAAATACTTTTATATACATTTTGCTTTAAGATAAATGGTTTCAAAGGTAACAAGAGCCTCTAGAAATGTGTGTGCCTTCTCTTTGAACAACAAAGTCCCATTTGGGGAAATGAGGGCTAACTCTTATTGCCCTCGCTCCTGGTTAGTCTTGCTTTGCAGAAGGACTCAATAAAGTGCGTGTCACAGATTATGTAGTCACGGAATAAAATCGAATGCAAGTACCTTCAGAATGCTTTAGGAAGGGCAAATTATGAATTCATTGCTAATGTCTGATCCATTGAATTGACAACAAATATAATATTCTCCATTCTGAAGAAAAATTAGTATTCTTGTTAGGCCTAGGTACATTGCACTTTTGCCCTAGTGAAGTCATCCTCTGCCTCAAGGAAGAAAGCTTGTATGGATCCAATCTCAATGCAGAAGTTCAAGCTTGACTGAAGAGTGAAGTTCATGCAATTTCAAAGGCACCAGCATTCAATAAGAAGTCAGCTATATTTAATCAAACATGAAGCACTTGATACTGTTTACAGTATGTGCACTCTGAACTGCATCCATAATTTGTTCCCAAAGGCACGAGAATCCTGAGAGGTCTTGCTTGCCCTTTCACCTTTTTCTTTGATTAGATATGTTCCTCTTGAATATAGTGTCTTTGATATTAGCTGTGATGTAAATTCTATTGATCTTTGTGGCATCTTCTCATTAACATACTTCTGAATATTTAAACTCTGAAAACTCACTTTCTCTCATTCTTTTTTTGCGCAATTTCAAATAATTAATCCATAAGAACTGGCTTAGACTGTACGCCCTCCCTAGAGAACTCCTGTCTGCTATACCACCTCTTAAAGAAAAAAAATATATATATATATAACTAATTGAAATATTTAACCATGTGTTTGGAACATTTTTTTATAGGCTGCGGTGTTGCTTATATTCATCTTCCAGTCAGCTACAGGATAATAGCAACAGCAAACACGTTGACAATGCAGTTCATTGTTCGATTCTCCCATCTCACTGTGCAGGTCCCTAGAAGAGATCATTACAATTTGTTACAAAACATAAAAATGTAATTCCAGCCCCTTTATTACATTCATTTTATCTCAATGTAAACTATGTTCAATTAGGAGCAATAACACAGTTGTGATTTAAGGTAGTTACTATTATTGTCATGCTGGCTCTAGTTAGACTAAATTCCTCAAAACATTTGTACTAATTTGGACATTGTTTACTACCTAAATACAAGGAGGGGAATGCTCTGACAATCTGTTTTTAAAAGCTGGATTATTATACCCTGAACTGTAGAACTTAGATGTTAGAAAGCACATGAAAAGCCTACATATCACCTGACTTGACAGTTAGATAGTTGAAAAACCTGTTGTAGTCATACTGCTCCTATTTTTACCAAACTTTTAATGAAAACAATGTTTTATTGCCTCTTTGATTGATCAATGGTTACCTAAGAGAGTTAATTTTTTTCACATTTGTTCAAATAAGAAGGCATTTCTACATTTGCTAATGCAGACACAGACTGTCAACAAAACATTTTTCCTAGGATTGTGAACAAGGATTTAATTCTGGAACCTACTGCTTCTATAATCACTCTTCCAACACTTCTACCGAACTGTTACAATTGAGCAACAGGTACCATTTCTTTCACTACAACATTTAATCTGAGTGAGGAAGCCTACCATCAGTTGTAGTATCCCAGAAGCACGAGCTTGCTGTGTGGAGACCAGCTCCGCTTCTCTGCATCACTGCACAGGTTACTGAAAGATACAGTCATAAAACAACAGCTTTCATTATTGAAGAGGTGAATCGTTCACATTTTCTGAACTCCAACTCACATTATTTTTTCATATGGCTGTCAGGAGGCATTCAACTAAGTCAACACCTATTCTGACATTCCATCACTCCCAGTATTTTCCTCAAGAACTCGGTATTTGATTCATGATTATCCTTAGTCACGTAAAGACAATGGCTTTAACAAAATGCTTGCTAATAGGATTGTGCTTTCTATCTTTTAAACTGCTTAGATACAGCTTTTGTCAGGTGCACCACAGAACTGGGTTCCAAGTGCTGTCCTCACCCATACAGCAGAAGTCACACTGGACAAGAACTGCTTCCCAAAGGTAGAGTTGGCTGCTCTCTGAAACCACTGTGGCAACAGGGCATTTCTAAACCAACTTGTAACTACTATAAAAATGTTAAGTTTGAATTGAAGACTTTAAAAACAGACCAGGGTGCTAACATTTGCTTTGGTTCTTTAGTGAAGTGCTGATATAATAGCATTTTAAACATCCACTTTTCTCCATTTCTCTTTCATAGATTTTACAGAAAAATAACAGGACATGAAGTAGCTTAGAGGACTGAAAATCTTGTAAAAGTCTGCACTTATAAAAAGCATAATTCTAATAAAATGCTTTTATTAAAATAAATTTTAAAAAAAGTATCTGTGTAGCAGAAATGCTAAGTCATGGCTTGAACCCGAGTCTGAGCACCTGGTGGAAAGGCAGGGCCAACCCAGGAGAGCTCAGGTGCATGCAATGTCCCTGAGTGACTGGAAGGAGTGCAGCGAGGATCCACCCCTTCCCAGACCTCATTTAAAGGTTGGCAGTGGAAAGGAGAGTATCTTGATGGAGAACTCTGCCATCTGAGGCCTCTCAGGGGTAAGCAGCTTCTTTCCTTTGTTTCTGTGTCCATGGCTGCTGTGAGCTTATCCCCACTAAATACAGCCTAGGACTTTGCTACTATGATATCGCTGCTGTGCTTTCCATCAGGTTACAGCTTTACAATCCATTTCCTGAACTGATGCCAGAACATTGATACAATTGTTTTAAGATTGCTTAAGAGTCAGGGAACTCTGTAACACACCATCTTCTGTGCTAACTGTTGACAGCATGCTTGGCCCAAGTAAATCTGCCATAGCTTTACCACAAATACTATCAAACATCTCTGTAACAGAAGAGTTCAAGTATCTGCTCTGCTTTGTTTACGGTTTAACAATTAAACTTTTCTACTGAGCACAGCACTACAATGAAACAAACTTATCAGCAATTACTCACTGTGATTATAAAAGGGTAGATGCATAGGTACTCCTACTCACCAATGTACTTATATGTTTTTCCCAGTTTTACCAAATGTGTCAGCGACTGTTCCACTATAGCTGCAGTCCACTGGTTGACTTTGTTGTGATTGTAATCTGCTTTGCCTAAAACACTTTCTATGCACTAAAACAGAGCAGGGGGGGAAAAAAGTAATAGTAAATAGAGGAAAATTCAAAATGTAGAGGTTCAAAATGTCTTGTATAATCTGAGAACTGTATCTGGGAACTGGCTTTCTTTGAATTACTTCAGCTCAATAGGTATCAGCTGCTGAATGGGAAGTAAAATGAACTTTCTTGGGAAATAACTTTTAGTACATATTTACCCCACTACTACATGGAGAAAAATGAGGCTTTGAGTGAAAATTTGATGTAGGAATTATTATTAGTCATACACTTTAAGTGCCAAGTGAAACCACAGGATATATTTACCAGTGAAAATACTAACACACCCCTTCACCCTCCCCACCTTGTACTCAATGACAGCTTTCTCCAGCTTGGCTTTCATGCGCTGCTGCAGTGGAAACTGTACTACGCTGATCTGGACATCCCTTCACAGTTTTTGAGCAACAGTCCAAAATCTTCAGATAGCTGGAGTTACAACAGCAGAACACAAACCCCAGCTTAAATGATGAAGCAGATGTGAAAGCAACAGATGCTTAAGTGTTGCATCCCACAGCACTAAAATTCCTGAAAACTGCATATCCTCCCACAGCTTTAGATTGACTAATCCTTGATTAAACCTAGTGACTGAACAACAGAAAGCCTGCTGTCCAATTGTAATTCTTAAATTGCATTCTCTGCTCCTACTGAAATTCAGCATTGTGTACTCATGAAAACTGTATTATTACAGTGTAAAGAAATGTACATTTGTAATAGGCAAGTAAAACAAAGCTATGTTCTCCTCTGATTCAGTAACGCAGACTTCATGCACGTACCTCCCACTAACCACGAGAGAGATTGGTGTTCCAGATCCTATAAAACCCAATTAGTTCTGATCCCATTGTATAAACCTAGACAATGACTTGATGGAAACAAACGCAAAACAGGACAACAGCACTCAGTGGTGCTATTGGGATTCTGGTCTTTTTCAGAGACATATCCAATACCAGAACTGCTCAGATCTAGTTAAGCTTTAAGTCAGAGGCAGAAAGGCTTGGCTTTGCTCCCAGACTCGGATGTAAAAATAAAGAGAATCTCTGATACTGTATCTGGCCTCTCAAAGCAGGGCCAGTTATGTAAGGGCTGAACTGTCATTCACCTGACAGCTGAGGGCTTGCTGCTGTGACCTGGAGCAGCTCAAGAAGCACTATCCTGTCACAGCAGGGCAGGCAGGGAGGGACCTGCACAGGCCCTCTAGAAATCCCCTTATAAAAACAGTATTTCCCTGTAAAAGCTGACAACATCAATACGCTGTAGTCTCTTTATTAACCATATCATCAGGCATTTTAGACTGGCAGGCTACACATTTTCAGCCTGCTCTTTTTTTGTGCAAAAATTACTATATTTTTGAATGTTGACAGAATAACAAGCTCACATAGCCCAACCTCCAGCCAAAGCTACATTTCTAAGTGTGATCTCAAGGCTGCTCAAGACTTTCTCCAGGCAACCTGCTCCAGTGATTGCCTACTGTCTAGCTGGATAAAGGGGAAAAAAAATAAAACAATGATTTTCCTATGCAACCTGTGACTGTCCTCCCTCAACATTCCAACGTCAAGCAAATTCTATCCCTCCCTCTGTCACCTTCTCCCCTTCAGACAGCTGAAGACAAGAACTAACTGAAGCTTAAAGTAGTTCCAAATGAAAGTCTGCTTTCATTTGATTTAAATAATAGTTCATATTTTGTATAAGCTCAAATCTCTCAGGGATGGTTAATTAAAAGTCTCTCTTTTCACTATACTGCAAGACAAAGTGTTTCTCTGAAACATGAGCCATGAACTAACACCTACCTCCTTAACTATGTTGTGGGCCTCGTCAGCATTGAAGATCATCTGTAATGAATAAACATCAATTATTTTTTTGGCACACCCAAGAAACTTTCCCTGCGGTTCTAACATACCCTATTTTCTACTCATTCCGACTCCTCGGAATTCAGCCTGGCTTCCAGAGAAAACCCGGCACGTCCACCTGTGCCATCTGCTTCCCTGCACCCATCGGTTCCAAACAGATGGGCAAGGGCACAAATCTCAAGGACGGTGACGTCCCTGCGAGTTTCCAATAGAAACGGGCGGCTACAGATCCGAATACGGAGCCCAAGGGGGAAGAGGCCGCTCGGTTCTTTTCAGTAACGAGCCCCCATCTCCCAGCATAGCACGGCTACGACGGCGGCTGCCGGACGCCGCCAGTGCCCGCTCAGCCCCCAAACGCGTCGCTCCGTTCCGGGACACCGCAGAGCCCCGGCCGCGCCCCCGTTCGCTGCTGGCCCGGCGCCGGGCTCGCGTCCGGACGGGGCCGACGGATCCTTACAGCGAGGCGGGGCCGGGCGGAGAGCCCCTACCTCGTCGTTGTGGGGGTGAAAGTCCTCCATGGCCACGACGCGGGCGGCGGCGGTTCCGGCAGCGGCGGCTCCTCCGAGTCCTGCGCGGCTCCGCCTCCCCGGGCGGTGCTGTGGGACGGGAGATGCCTCCACCATGGGCGGGCGGCTGAAGGCGGGTCGGGCTGCGTGGAGCCGTGCATGGGCGTGCTTGGGGAGACCGGGGGCTGTCCTGCAGGGAAGGATGGCGTTTTCTTCCCTGCTGTTGGGTTAATCCGTGTGAATTGCCTGACGTACAGCTGCTGTTAGATTTTAATCACGGTGACTCGCTTTTAATCCCACCTTATTACAAAGAAATGGCTTGGGTTTTATTTGGTGCGCTGTACGAATAGGTGTAGGTAGGTGTGATTTTCTCGCTCACAGATGTTGCCTGGGAAACAGGAAGGACACCTTCCTGTTGGTATGGAACAGTGCAGAGCTTGCACGTGGTTTTTTTTTTTTTTAATTAATATTTTACCTGGGGAAAAACTCCTATGTTTTTCTTGGTTTGGATTATTGGTTTCTTTTTATAGTATTGCCTCTGTGATACAATTCTCCTGGTCTTTCTAAACCAGAACAATGATGAGAATCATAGAATCATAGAATCACAGAATGGTTTGGGTTGGAAGGGACCTCACAGCCCACCACCCCAACCCCTGCCATGAGCAGGGCTGCCCCCCACCAACTCAGGCTGCCCAGGGCCCCATCCAACCTGGCCTTGAGCGCCTCCAGGGATGGGGCACCACAGCTTCTCTGGGCAGCTGTGCCAGTGCTTCACCGCCCTCTGAAAAATTTCCCCATAACATCTAATCTAAATCTCCCCTCCTTTAGATTTAATCCGTTCCCCCTTGTCCTATCACTGTCTTCCCGTGTAAGAAACTGACTATGTTAGGTACAAGGCTGCCTCAGATCAGTTTTAGTGGCATATATTTGGATAGACTCATGCTTACCTTGCAGAAGTGTCTGTTGATTGGTGTTAATTGTATGCTGACTGGAAAAACTCTAGAAGAATGAAAGTACAAAGGAAGCAAAGCAAAACGCTTTCATGTCATCTCTGAAAATAGCTTTAATGTGTAATATTTGCAAATGGATGTAGTAGGATGAGGAAAGTGAGCATGAAGACTTAAGTTTCTTTAAAAGCAGATTGTTATGAACAAGCACTAATGGATATAGTCATAGGAAAAACACATTAAAAAAGCCCTCAGTATAAAGTATTCTTTGTTCTGACCTGTGCAGTGTATTCCTGGGCTTTCACACTTTGAAGCTATTATAAGTAAAACAAAATATCCTTTCTATGTATTATAGTTCAAAGCTAGGGATAAAATTTTGTGTTCATTTTTAAAGAAATAAAAGCTACTGGAAGCATGCGTTATATCTGCACTGGCAACTGAGACATAAAGCTAACAGTGCTAAAAAGAGCTTAGCCTTGGATCTTGTTCATCTTTTATTCTCTCTATTTTCTGAGATCATGTGTCTTCGCCTCTTCAGGATGCAATTAGCAAATAAAAATAGTTGCTAGATATATATTTTTTCTGTTTAGAAATATTCAAATATATACTTTCTTTGAAATACTAGTAATCATCATCTTAGTGGACTTCATGAAGAAGGGGGTTCCTGAATGACTGGTGTGTGGGTTGGAAGGTGGTGATCCTAATGAAGGGGAAAAATAAAGTGTATCTTTCTCCCCCACTGCCCAATACAGATGGGATAGCAAGAATCTCAGCTCAACACCTTAACAATAACAGAGAACTATTAGGTTCAAGAATGAGAGGTAATGGCCTTGAGGTAGCATCGGGGGAGGTTCAGGTTGGATTTTAGGGAAAATTTCTTTGAAAGAGTGGTGAGGCAGTGGCACAGGCTGCCTGGGGAGGTGGTGGAGTCACCATCCCTGGAGGTGTTCAAAAGCCGTGTGGATGTGGCACTTAGAGACATGGGCATTGGCCTGGTGGGTATGGGTTGGGGTTGAACTAGATGGTCTTAGAGGTCTTTTCCAACCTTACTCATACCATAATTCTATAAAATATCAGAATTTGTATTAATCCAGAGATTACAGACAAACACCCAGCATCACCTGTGAACAGCCAACACAGATGTGTCCAGAATCTATGTCAAGCAACCTGATTTTGTTCTTCAGCAGGACCACTGGTTTAATGGATGAAAGGGAAATACATAGTAGGCAAGTTATTTTGCAGTAAATGTGTTTCGTTATGCTCTCTCGCATAACTTTAAAGTAAGAATACATAATCTAGGGGGAAAGTAACAAATTGCTCCTAATGAAGAGTTATCAAAGTAAGGGAAATAAACATAAGATGTCCCTTCCCTTTCTCCAACAGCTAATCTATATTAGTGGTAATAACTAGAACTGTGGAATAAAAACGATGCTTATAAAAGCCTTTCAATGATGGCATGTTGAAAGAAGTTACAGGCATGCTGACTGACAGAATTAAATTATAAATACTGAATAGGTTGCAGAAATTAACAGGAAAAAATTTCATAAAAAATACAAAGTACTGTCTGTAAAAATGACATCAAATGCACAAATACAAAATGGAGGTTAGGCAGTAGTGTTACAGAAAATTACAGAATATCAGCAAATAGGAACCAAAGGATGTTGTTATAAATAATCACACTGAGGAGTAGCATGAAAGGCACAAAAGGCAATTATGTTGTTCTTGGTGTTTGCCAGGCATCAAGTGTAATTCTCTGCCCAGTGTGGTGTCAGGACAGAGAGCAAAATTATATTTCTCCTGGAATCAGTAAGACCTGAAGGAAGCTTAGAAAATGTGATTTGTGGAGGAGCAGCGTTTGTTTTCTATCTGACTCTTCCCCAGCCTCTTCACCCAGTAGGTGTCTCAACGTGCAGCAGTTCACTAAAGGGGATGATTAACAGGTCGATGCATGATAAAAGATAGGAAAAGAAATGATAGGTTTAATTTGAAGTAAAGGAGATATATTTTAAATATTAGTAGAATAAAGAAAAAATCCAAGTGTGAGTAATAAAGCACTGAAACAGACCAGGTGTTTCAGTCATCTTTGCTGGATCAGTAACATCCACCATGCATCCAGCTGGCCTGCATTCTCCTTTAGGGGAGCAGAAGATATTAAATTATCTTTTGAGTTAGTTTTAGACTTACAATAATTTAGCTCCTGAATGGGTATTTTCTTCCTTCCTTCCTTCCTCCCTCTCTCCCTCCCTCCCTTCCTCCCTTTCTTCCGTCCTTCCTTCCTCTTCCTTCCTTCCTCTTCCTTCCTTCCTCTTCCTTCCTTCCTTCCTTCTTAACAAACTCACTTTTGACAGAATTTTGATAAGCACCATTATATTTTCCTTTATATATATATTTTTTTATTTTTCCTGGGAATTAGTAATGCAACTACTGATTTCACAAGATTTATGATAAATCGGAACAAGGAACCATATGCTTTTCAAGGGGAGTTACCTGAGTACTCTGCTTAATTTTTTATTACATTGATGTGAATTGTAAGCTGGAAAATGCAAATGGACTGCAGTATAATCAGCTCTGTACACTGTAATAGGAAATATGAAAAGTGCTGAAAGTAGTGGTGCAGAAATACAACCCTAAATTCAAATGTAATGGAGGCTTTCATCATTCAAATGCAGAACAGCAGCTCTTAGAAGACTGAGAATAAACAGAGCAGCTCAAATCATTCCTTGATTAAAATGCAAATACTTGAAGAGGATTTGGCATACTGGAGAGATAGCACAGGTTGTGAAGATTCACCCCTGCTTGAACAGAGTAAAAATGTGAATTCCAGGTAAAATAGTATGGCTTCTTTCTTGCTTCCTGTGTTTTTGTCCTTCAGCTGTTGCAAACATTTTAATCCTTCATGATCTACCTTAAACCATAAAGTCAAAATCAGTTCAATTCTGGTATTTAATTTTTCTGACTTAGTTCCTAAGCGACATGTGGCCACTTGCTGGAGGAAGAATCAGTGTGTGCTGCTTTTATTCTTGCTCTCTTCCTACGCATCACTACTTATTACTGCCAGGAATGGAGCAGTGGAGTAGATGGATGCCTGGCCTAATCTCTTCAGCAGTTTTTATGTTGGCCAGACCATGGCTGCATGCCTCAGTAGAAACTTAAATGATTTACTTCCCTGATTTTTCTTTTCTTTCTTTCTTTTTTTTTTTTTTTTTCTGAGAGTTATTCTAACATTAGTTGTTTTAATAATCACTGCAGTGACTTACTCAAACTCCTCTGAAGAACTAAATGCCCACTCAACCAATTGTTTAAAAAATTATCAGAGATATCACTATTTCCATAGCTACAAATGGTCTGTCAAGGCGGTTTCTGTATTTTTTGAATCATCAGAGTGCTGGAAACTCATGTTGTGATCATGATTGAGAACATGAGTGCAGCACAGAGATGTACATTGTTGCAGCACAGTGGGAAAAAGTGTGGAGATGGCGTTGCAGAGGCTGCAGTGACCTACTGCAAGTCAGCTGGGCTGTGGAGAGTGTAGTGTTTGCTGGCACAGCTGTGCTGCCAGTGCCTGAACTGGAGTGGCTGCATTGCAAGTACTTGCTGGCTTCTATAGAAACTCGCATGATTTCAGATAAGCTTTGAGATAGGACAATGTACATCATCAATTTTAGGGTTAAACTTGATGAGTTGACAGTGTTATATGTGCTCAGTTTTTGTTCTCTGTGGTCAGTATTTAAGACACACATCAAAATAGAATAATTTTCCAGTGCTAGAAGGTTTGCACAGCACCCACTGTACAGACTTATCCATTTAAATGAACTAAAACAATAACAGTAGTGTTATAACATCACTATATATGAAGTCTTCATTCTGTTTTGTGGTTAATTTTATCTGGATTTTTAGTCTTTTTTTTTTTTTTTCTTTAAGCATAGCTTACATGATGTGTTTGAGATGCGAACGAAGTAGTAATTGATTACTCAAGTTAGCTATCTCTTCTAAGTACACAGAATTTTCAGATCCTACACATTTTTTGAATAGGCAGTTTAAATATACTCAGTAAAAGCAAATGGTCAACCATAGAATAATAGAATCATAGAATGGCTTGGGTTGGAAGGGACCTCAAGGGTCATGAAGCTCCAACCTCCCTGCTGCAGGCAGGGCGTGTATCTAATACTAGACAAGGCTGTGCAGGGCCCCATCCAGTTTGGCCTTGAACACCTCGAGGGATGGGGCATCCACAACCCCTCTGGGCTTGAGTGATGTATCTCCAAAGGAACA